GATTCTCAGGTGAAGCAACCATTTAAAGAAAATGAACATTCTGGCGTGTGGTTATTAAAAAAATTTAAAGAACAATAAGAAGCTAGGTGAGGTGGCTCATGCCTATAATTCCGGTGCTTTGGGAGGTTGAGGCAGGGGGATCACTTGAGGCCAGGTGGTTGAGGCTGCAATGAGCCATGATCCTGCCACTGCACTCCATCCTGGGCGGCAGTGAGACTTTGTTTCAAATAAAAGAACAATACATCCACTAATATAAAATCATGTAGCAGTCTCTCAGGAGTGGTCAGATGAGTGACCCAGAATTGCCTGTGAATAAGTTTGCCGTGGTCTACACCCATCTCCTCTGGGAGTTTTAAGCATGTGGAGCCCAATGCTGAGAGCTGGGGGAGGTGATTCCAGGCACAGGAGGCTGCTGCGTTCTCAGTGTTAGCTCAGCTTCTCGTGGGCACATACACAACACTCCTCTTCCCCCATGAATGGCTTATGAGCAATACGTTTGGAAATGGTTCCTAAAAAATTCATTTCCCTTTTCTGCAACTCAAGCTGGAGCCTCTAATCTCCCCCTCAGGGGCATCCTCAGCCACCTCCCACCTTCCTCCTTTTAAGCGATTTCCCCCTCAGGCCCTGGTCATTTCCTCCCTGAGTCATTGCAGTTCCAGAAGGACCTAGCTGTGTTTCTAATGGTCGCTTCCGCATTCCATGATCATGCTGGCCAAGCTCCTTTGAAGAGGCTTAGCAGACTTCCCCCCCCCTTTTTTTTAAGAGACAGGGTCTTCTCTGTTGCCTAGGCTGGAGTACAGTGGTACAATCATAGCTCACTGCAGCTTTGAACTCCTGAGCTCAGATAATCCTCCCACATCAGCCTCCAGAATAACTGGGACTATAGTCATGCACCATCATGCCCAGCTAATTTTTCATTTTTTTGTAGAGACAAGGTCTCACTATGTTGCCCAGGTTTGTCTAGAACTCCTGAGCTCAAGCGATCCTCCCACCTCAACCTTCCAAAGAGGTGGAATTTCAGGTGTGAGCCACCGTGCCCAGACTAGTCTTAGCAGACTTGTAAAGTTTTGGGGTGGTCATGGGAACAGATGACCAGGTTCCCTTGATCTAAGCTCAGGATTGAAATGATACACCAGTCAAGTTCTCTCAGGTCTTCAAATAATTGATTCCAAGTAAGGGAAATTCCCAGTTACTTGCCCTCCTCCCTAAGTAAGTATTTCATGAGTGAGGGCGGAATTCTCAACCCCTTGCCTTGACCCAACATTCTTCCCAAACCCTGCTTCCCAATGACATATCTTAGACAGTAACTCAGGGACTTGGCCGGCAGGCAGGGGGCTTGGAGGTGAGAGGCAATGGGAAGGCTGTAAGTAGGGCAGGATTTCTAGAGCACGCTGAGCTGTAGAATGCAGTCTGGCATGACATATACTCTAGCTTTTTTTCCCCCTAAGTGCACTCTATAGGAAATAAAATGTTCAACCATTAAAGATTATTAAACAAGGGAGCAAATAATGAGTATGTAAAGGAGTTTTTATCAACCATAATAACAATTCATTAAATACTGAGAGGGGACTAGATACTTGCTCTTGGTGGTATTTGGAACAGTGTTTGGCACACAGTAGGTACTCAGAATTTGTTGGAGGGATGAAAGCTACATTGTTTCCTTGAATCCAACATAGCACATGTCGCTCAATTAAGGCTCTCTGCTCCTTGATTTACTGTTCTTCCTGCTCACACCCTCCAGCAGTCTCAAACACCAAAAGTTTTATTTTTTTCAAGACAGCTATGTATCCCCTTCTGTCTATGGGGAGCAGCAGGGAACTGTCTGACATGGAAGATGAAACCACTTATGCTTAAGTCTCCAAGTTTTTGTCCCTGGTTCTGCTCGTTCCTACTACAGTCCCTTGGTTGCTTAGCAACTTAAGCAATCTTGAAAACACAAATCAGAGCATGTCATCTCCTGCCTTAAGTGGGCCAGTGGCTTCCATTGCAATTAGAATGACTTCAAAGCTCATACAGCCAACTGGGCCCTCCGTGACCCCCGTTTACACCTCAAATCTCACTTCCGACTGTGCTCTCTCCTGGTTTACTCTGCTCCAACCCCCAGGTCTCTTGAAGGATACTTCATTATGCTTAATTCATTATGTTTAATTCATTCCCACCACAGGGCCTTTTTATCTGCTGTCTCCTCTGCCTGGAATGCTTTCCCCATCACTGGGGTCTCCAGAGCGGTCCTTTCCAACCATCAACCCCAGCGGATCACCCTGTTTTATTGTCTTTGCGCCAGTCATCATCACCTGGAATCCCATGTCTTTTCACTCTCTTACTGTTGTGCTGACCCCACTTGAACGTCAGCTCTGTCTTGATCACCACGAACCCCCAGAACCCACTGATGGTGTGTCAGATGAATGACTGAGCCAGGGATGGTGAACCGTGTTTGCCTATTGCAACTGGGTTATTTTGCCTTGGGGATAGAAGAAGGAAGGAAGTTGCTGGACAAGGTCAGAGGGAGGCTACAGGTCCTGTGATCTTTATTTCAATAATAACAGCTTGAGTCTAAGGCAATATTTGTCCATGGAGAAGGAGAGGGCCACTTCTCCAGAGTCTAGACTGAGCTGCGGGTTAGGCTGGGGCCGGATAGGGGTTAGGGAGCTGAGAGTCAGGGATGAACTCTGTTCCCAGATGTCTGCCGAGTAGAAAGTGCTGTTCCTGTCCTTGCAGCAAGGCTATGTTGCAAGGGCTCCACCTGTACTCACTGGAAACTCCCATTCATTCACACACACTACCACAACGCATTTACTAGTACAGACATTGTCCTAGGCAATAGAGATGGGGCATTGAATGAGAAAGCTCAGGTTTGTCCCTCATGAAATTTCCTTTTCCAAGGGAGAGACAGATGAGCAAACAGGGAAGATAATTTTGGATATTGATAAGATAGACTTGTAAGACATCTTATAAGATGAGAGCGACGGGGGTGGGTGTGTAGGGGGAGTTGATTTACATAAGGCAGTCCAGAGAGGTCCCTGGGTGAGGTAACACTTTGCACGTGATCGCATTTGCCCCTCTGCAACGAAGGACGATTTTGAAATGTCCTGCTAATCCCCTCAGAGCTGCCAAAGGCTCTAGGCATGTGAGAAACTGCTCCCACTCACAAAGAAAGCCCTGTTGGGCTTTCTTGCCCAGAACCGCTGAAACAAGCCAAGTCCGAGCAAGCAGCAGACAAATCTGACGATGCCCACCATCATATTTCTCATCTAAACCAATCTTGAGAATGTGGGAGAGTTTTTTTTAAAAAACTCTGTCTTTACATAGGTCTTCCTTGAACAAGTCTAGAACTATTTTTCCACTCAGAATTGAGGTAGAAGAGAACCAAAGAGTGCTTGCTCTTTAATTGAGGCTAAATCTAAAACTCTAAGCACATTCGAGCACAGTTTAAATATTCTTCAAGCACAAATATTGGACCATTCACTCTTCAGCAACATAATAGAGATGCTTATTTAAAAACTCCTCAACCAGGCTTGGTGGCTCAGCCTGTAATCCCGTGGTTTGGGAGGCTGAGGTGAGTGGATTGCCTGAGCCCGCAGATTCGAGACCCGCCTGGGCAACTTGGTGAGACCTCATCTCTACAATAGATCAAAAAATTAGCCGGGCGTGGTAGCGTGCGCCTGTAGTTCCAGCTACTTGGAAGGCTGAGCCGGAAGGATCGCTGGAGCACAGCAGGTCGAGGCTGCGGTGGCCGTGAGCGGCCACTGCACTCCAGTCTGGGTGACAAAGTGAGATTCCAACTCAAAAAAATAAAAAATAAATAAAAATAATAATAAAAAAATAAAAACTCCTTTCAGAAAACCAAGTGAGCACACAGCTGTCTTTATAAAAGAGAGAAAGTGGCTAGGCGTGGTAGCTCAAACCTGTAATCCCAGCACTTGGGAGGCCGAGGCATGAGGATTGCCTGAGCTCAGGGGTTCGAGACCACCCTAGGCAACTTGGTGAGACCTCATCTCTAAACTAAATCAAAATATAAGCCATACAAACATTTTTCCAACAGTTTGAAATTTTTCAAAGTAAATACCTGGGAACAAAATTCTAGAGTAGCTAAACTATTTATACATAGTTTATATAAGCAATGGTTACTCAGTCATAAATTCCACTAGTGGCATTTATTATTACTGTTGTTTAATTCTTATAAATAGGCTCCTCATTTGATACTTGTTTCATTTTTTTCTGTTTTACTCAAATTTTAAAAGAGTATAGCCAGATAAAAAACCATCAATCTCGAGCTTCACTTTCTTTATGCTTGAGTAGTTTTAAAATATGGTAGCCATTTTAGCTTTCTTTTCTTGCTGTGTTACCCAGGCTGGACTTGAACTCCCGGGTTCCAGGGGTCCTCCCACCTCAGCCTGTGGAGTGGCTGGGACTACAGGTACCAACCACTACACCTGGCTTATTTTACCTTTCTAAATAGCAAATCTTTTTTGATTCATGACGCAGACTTGAAATCTGTCTGAAAGCTCCACACAATACACAAGTCAACATAAAGATTGCATGCAAGTGCCCACTGCGGACTCAGCCCAGGAGGCTGAAGCTGATGTCTGGGCTCTGCTATTGGGAAGTGAGCACAGACATCAGTCAGGACAGTTAGGAGTGACACTGAGTGTCTTCAGGTTCCAGAGACAGAAGAAATCAGGGTGGGCTGAGGCAGAGACTCACATCTTGCTCAAGAAATTTGTTGGATGGTGGATAGATGCAGAGTGATGGATTGTGTTGTCAACCGAGGAAGCTGGTTTCTACTACAAAATCTTTTTCACCCACTTCGGACTCAAACGTAAGAGCATCACAGCACATGTTTCCCACACTGAAACTTAGGTAAACTTTTCCATTTCAAACTTACATGTCACTAATATTCATCCTTTGCCTTTATTAGAAAATCTGAACCAAAACTCATCAATATCTTAACCATCTCGATTGCCCCCCACACACACATTCAAACAGCCCCCATCACTCACCTTGGGCGCACCATCCATGATGCCTGTTTCTTTCATTTCGCAGATGGGCAACAGCTTCTTTGAGCTCCCCGGCAAATACCTCTGGCTTCAGAGGCAGGTTATGCAATGTCACACTGCTTGCTTCTGCTGGTTCTCAGAAACGGAATTCTATGGAGCTGTCTGACAACGCATGGGAACTTGTCAAAAAGATTCCCCCAGCAGGCAAACTTTCTGGACAGTCCGATAAGAGGACAACATGAAAGAGGTGAAGGAGGACAGACCACAAATAAAGGCCACAGTCTCACCTCAATGACTGGTGTCTGACTTTGTCTAAAAGTAGAGATTGTCACTCATTTGCTACGTGAAACCACAAAAGAAGAAGAAGGGGAAAAAAAAAAACTCTTCTGCTTTACAGGGGGAAGTTCCTACTTTGAAAAGCTTGGTGTACGAGCACACAGTACTCTTGCCCTTTGAACACTGTGGAATATCTCCCACTGAACAGACCAAGCTCATTTCCCTGATGAGAGGCCACCAGGCCAAATTTCTGATAGCGGTCAGCATTTCTTCCTTCCTGCTCCCTAAAACTTGCCTTATGCCAGTCAGGATAAAAGAAGTCATGCCTCCCTGTCAGCTGTACATGCTCCCCACTCTGAACACCATGCCCACTGCCGGATCTCTGCTCACAGTACTTAATGATGAATGCATCTTCTGGTTGCTGAGTCTGTACCAAGGGTTATACTGAGCACTACACCTGTATTCTTTCTCTTAAATCTAATAAACTGAATGCCTGCGCTGCACTTGAAACCACCACCAGCTCTGGCAGTTCATCACTTGCCAACTCTTTTGACTTTTCCTGAATTCAGACCCAACACCTCAAGGGGACCCACAGTGCAAAAACAAGTTTGTGTTTGCATTTTTATTTCATTTAAATAAGATGGCACTCATTCTAGCAACCCCAGGCTCGAGGTCCATCCCCAACCGGCTGTCTTCATTCACTGCTCTCTTCTTGCCAGACAGCACTACTGTCTTGTCTTCTGGTTGTCCCGTGTGTAGGTTTCTCAAGACTGAGCACCAGGACATAGTTACCTAACGAAATAGTGGACTGCTTTCTGGTCGAGACAATCCATCTTTACTTTTTTTTTTTTTTTCTTGAGACAGGGTCTTACTCAGTCACACAGGCTGGAGTGCAGTGGTACAATCATGACTCACTGCCGCCTTAACCTCCTGAGCTCAAGTGATCCTCCGGCCTCAGCCTCTTGAATAGTTGGGACTATAGGCATGAGCCACTGTCCCTGGCCTAAGAATCAATATCCTTCACACTTGGGTGCTGGAACAAAATCTAGAAATTTAGTAACATATGTTGAAATCATAGAATTTTAAATCCCAAAATTGCAAAAACAAAAAACTCATCACTAATTTGGGAAATAAAAGGAAGACAGCAGGAGGTAAGAGTTGAGATTAGAATAGCAGGGCTACATTAGAGTAGAATAATAACAGGTCTCATTAGAACAAAAGGGGCCTGGAGGTGGCTCATGACTGTAATCCTAGCACTTTGGGAGGCTGAGGTGGGAGGATTACTTGAGCCCAGGAGTTTGAAATCAGCCTAGGCAACATAGTGAGACATAGTGAGATATTGTCTCTACAAAAAATTAGCCAAGTATGGTGGCATGTACCTATAATACCAGTTACTTGGGAAGCTGAGGTTGGATCGTCTGAGCCCAGGAGGTCGAGCTTGTGGTGAGCTGTGATTGTGGTACTGCACTCCAGCCTGGGCAACAGAGATCCCGACTGAAAAAAAGAAACCCTGGCAGCAGAAGGGCTCTCTTATTCATGTTTTTGCAATACCATATAACCTCCATGGAACACACCTTTCTTTTTCTTATTTAAAAGGGCCCAGAAACTATTTTATAATAAATAATTCTTAATGTAAGGCTGAGTAGGTACCTTGACTGTATGGGTCACTATTTCCCCAGTATTCAGGACAGTGCTGGGCACATAGTCTGAAATTTTTGATGAATGAATGAATGAGTTTTGTTCTAGGTTGGTAACCAAACAGGACGTATGAAGTGCCAATAGTTGATATTTACTATACCATTATAACAAAGCTTACTAGTTCCAGAAGTTCTCTGTTCTTGTCCTGTCAGCACCGCTTTCCTTTTCTCGTAGAAAAAGTCCGCTAAGCCCCTGAGGAAGCTGTTCAACCAGGAGGGAGAGAATGTTCCAGGCTGGAACACACCCACATCCCAGACACAGTGACTGTTTTACACATGGTGAGGAGACAAGAAGGCCCAAGCAGGGCCAATAGTCCCCAGGATACACGAGACTGTTCTCCTGACTTCTGAGGTAAGAAGGAGGAGGTGAGCCTGTGGCCGGTTGGGCTGTCTAGGTGGATGGTTCTGCCCCCATGTGGAGAGTCTGCCAGAGAATGACACCCACACCCAGGCTGCACATATAGAGGAAGGAGGAACCCTAGACACCTAAGAAGTGGGATATAACTGTGCCTTAAGAGCAACCTCCAGCTGAAGGGCCTGGCTTCTGAACCCAAAAGGATAGCTCCTGTTCACCAAGTGTTGTGTACAGGTACCATTCAGGTATTGACTCATTTATCTAAACAGCAGTCTTAAAAAGTAGCAGCTTGGTTGGGCGTGGTGGCTCAAGCCTGTCATTCCAGCTCTTTGGGAGGTAGAGGCAAGAGAATTGCCTGAGCCCAGGGGTTCAAGACCAGCCTGGGCAACTTGGCGAGACCTTGTCTCTACAGTCAATCAAAAAATGAGCCGGGTGTGGTAGCGCATACCTGTAGTTACAGCTTTTTGGAAGACTGAGGTGGAAGGATCGTCTGAGCCCAGCAGGTCGAGGCTGTGGTGGCTGGGAGTGTGCCACAGCTCTCCAGCCTAGACGACAGAGTGAGACTGTAACTCAAAAACAAAACAAAACAAAGATTGAATTTTATGACTTGAATGATAGCATGATAAAAAATTTTTTTAAAAAATCTGGTCTTGAAACTGTGGGCTGAGGCAATCCTCTCAACTCAGCCTCCCAAAGTGCTGGGATTATAGGCGTGAGTCACCATGCCTGGCCAAACTCAACCTTTTAAAGTGATTATCAATCAATTCAGCGGTTTTTAGTATATTCAGAGTTGTGAATCTAATTTCAGAACATTTTCATCTCTCCAAAAATAAACCCCATCCCTGTCTGCATGTGGTCATTCCTTACTCCCCTCTCCCCTGGGTGCCAGAGACCACTGTTTCTATTGTATTATTGACTTTTGCACACACTTAAAATTCTCTATATAATCAAAGTAAAAAGGAAGGATGGGCAAACTTGCTCAAGGTCACATGGTGAAGTAACAAAACCCAAGCAATTGAACCTGAGTCTGTTGGAAAAGAGACTCCACTCTGACTCAAGTTCGGACTGTTCTTGTCACCTTGGTAAACTCCTGGCAGTGATTCTTCCCCATAACATAAGGGCTTGCCCTGGAGTTCATGATACAGATTAAAATGCTGTAATTTGCATGTCACTTTTGCTACGCAAAACAACCTAGACCAGAAAACAAAAGACACACAGGAACTAGTATTTGGCCCTGAAATTAGACAGACTACAGCCTATATAAATACACAGAATAGTATTTTGTGAATAAGGAGCTTGACTTTTCAGTCTCGTATCTGGACCCTCTATGGTTTTTCTGAATGAAAACTGCCTTAGACAGCTTGCTGCAATCCATTCCAATCTTAGGGTAAATAAGCCTTTTCTGTGCACAAACATTGCAAGAGCTAATTATTCTAGGAAATGGGGTGCTTGCGTAATATCCGGCTGTGAAACAGTTCGAGTTCAGGAGAACCAAGTTAGGGAGACGTGAGTAAGGTCACCTTAATGCTCCTGACAAATGCTACTGAGAACTGTATTTTGAACTAAATTTTCGTTTCTGTGACCAGTGAGTTGACAGATCCACTTCTACAGAACCCAATAAATGTGTAGAGAGGCAAATTACTTCTGTTTATTTTATTTATTTATTTATTTTTTGAGTTGGAGTCTAATTCTGTCACCCAGGCTGGAGTGCAGTGGCACACGCACAGCCACCCCAACGTTGATCTGCTGGGCTCCGGCAATCCTTCTGCCTCAGCCTTCCAAGTAGCTGGAACTACAGGCATGCGCTACCACACCCCTATATTTTATTTATTTATTTTGAGTCAGAGTCTCACTCTGTTGCCCAGGCTGGAGTGCAGTGGCATTCTCACGGCCACTGCTGGGCTCAGGCGATCCTTCCACCTCAGCTTTCCAAGTAGCTGGAACTACAGGCATGTGCCACCAGGCCCGCTGGTTTATTTTGTATATATGAACTCTTGGCTAGTGAGCTCCCTGACCAGTGTAGGATAACACAGGGAGGGTTGGGGTTCCAAAGCCCCTATAATTACTGGTGATAACTCAGTTTTATAGCCTGAATTTTGATCCCCAGCATAAGAGGCAAAAGAAATTAGAGGAAGAATTGAAAAAAAAAAAAAAAAAAAAAAAAAAAGGATACAAAGAAAACGCTGTGGGTGTAGAGAGCAGCCAGACGCTGGAGAAAGAGACTGAATGCTGGCAGGGGGATGAGGAAGACTGGCAGAAAATGATGCCACAGGCAAGTAGTCATTATGGAAGGAGTAAGGTGGTGAGGAATCATCTGACCCAAGAAGCTTCACGAAGGAGCAGAACACTCGCCGAAATAGCAGGAAGACCAAGGGTAAAATCTCCAGTAAGGCCGGGCATGGTGGCTCAGTTCTGTAATCCTAGCACTTTGGGAGTCCAAGGCGAGAGGATTGTGAGTCCAGGGCTTTGAGACCAGTCTGGGCAACTTGGCGAGACCTCGTCTCAACAATAAATCAAAAAATTAGCTGGGTGTGGTGATACATGGTTGTGGTTCCAGCTACGTAGAAGACTGAGGTGGAAGGATCATCTGAGCCCAGCAGGTAGAGGCTGTGGTGGCCGTGAGCATGCCACTGCACTCCAGCCTGGGTGTCAGAGCTTCCGACTCCAAAAAAAAAAAAGGTTCCAGGAAAAGGCCAGAGCATTGAGGATGATAGCAACAATAATACTGAATAGGATAGCTTTCCACAAGTTTTCTTCTTTTGTTCAAACCTGCCCAGTAACTTGTGAGTTTCTTTTTTTTTTGAGTTGGAGTCTCACTCTGTCACCCAGACTGGAGTGCAGTGGCCGCTCCTGGCCACCGCAGCCTCGACCTGCGGGACTCCGGTGATACTTCCGCCTCAGCATTCCGTAGCTGGAACTACAGACGTGCATTACTACGCCCAGCTAATTTTTGATTTGTTGTAGAGATGAGGTCTCACCAAGTTGCCCAGGTGGGTCTTGAACCCGTGGTCTCAGGCAATTCACTCACCTCAGCCTCCCAAAGCACGGGATTACATGCTGAGCCACCAAGCTCGGCTACCTGTGCGTTTCTTAATCTGCAATCCTACTATAGTGACCTTGTTCTAGGTTTTTAAACATTATTCTATGTACTTTATTTACTTACTTTTTCTTTTCTTTTCTTTTTTAGTTGGAGTCTCACTTTATCACCCAGGCTGGAGTGCAGTGGCAAACTCCCAATCCATGTAACTGGAACCACAGATGCGTGCCACCATGCCTGACTAATTTTTTGATTTATCGTAGAGATGAGGTCTGGCCAAATTGTCTAGGCTGGTTTTGAATCCCTGGGCTCAGGCAATCCTCTCACCTCTGTCTCCTAAAGTGCTAGGATTACAGGTGTGAGCCACCACACCCAGGCGTCTATATACTTAATGTTCTGCATCTGGTAATTCTACTGTCTTGGCAAGTTTGATTCCGTATTTCTTGTTTTAGTCAATTCTCATCGTGGTGATTTGTTTCTTCACATTCAATTGCGGACTCACAATCCTCAGAGCTGTATCTTTGAGGATTATTTGAGGACTGAAGTTGAAACATGCTCTTCCTTAGGGGATGAGTATGGGCTTTGGATGGGGGCTTGTGACCACTGTCCACTGGAGATTGTGTTAACCGCTCTACCTGCTTTTCTGAGCAGTCCAGGTAGCATACATTTTTCTAAACCTGCTTGAGAAATAGCGTGTGGACTATATTCTCAGAGAAGACCATCCCCCATGACAGCACACCAACCCTCTCCCTGCAAGCCCTTGAGCTAGTGCTGGGTAGGCAGGTGTTTGCCAAGTTCACCCTTTTTCTTATGGAAGTGCCTTTTGGGTTCTAGGCCTTCTGGGCCTTGATCAAAATTTCTACTCCATGAAGTCTGAGAACTTTGACTACTGCTCAGAAGTCAGTTGGCTGCAAGGAACTGACAAATGTCCTTGGTGCAACAGTCAATGCCAGCACTGTTAATCTTCTGGATTTGTGCTTGTTTTTGCCTCTCAAAAATTCTTGAATTTTCTTGCTATCTCAGCTATCTATTTAGAGATTAAAAGTAAGTTTTATCCAGATTTGTACTAAAAAGGCTCAGAATATCTGGTTGGTCATATTTTCAACAAGAGGTGGTCCCCCTAGAAGCAAATGCCTTTCCCCCTCCGTCAAATCTGCTTATGTCATGATTCAATAAAAAAGCGAGCTTCAATGGTTGAAGTGCATGTTGAAGATTATTATTATTATTATTTTTGTGTGTTGAAGTCTCACTCTGTCGCCCAGACTGGAGTGCAGGGGCACACTCCTGGCCACCGCAGCCTCAACCTGCTGGGCTCTGGCAATTCTTCAGCTTCAGCCTTCCAAGTAGCCAGAACTACAGGCGCGTACTACCACACCTGGCTAATTTTTGATTTATTGTAGAGACGAGGTCTCACCAAGTTCCCCGGGCTGGTCTTGAACCCGCGGGCTCAGGCAATCCACTCGCCTTGGTCTCCCAAAGTGCTGGGATTACAGACTGAGCCACAGAGCCCAGCCGAAGATTTTTAATCACATAAAAGGAAACTATAGCCCAGAAGAATAACTTGCCTTACTACTTACCAAGTCAGTAACAGAGCTGAGACTGGACTTCCCCACACTACCCTTCCTGAGGAAAACCAAAGTTAGCTTTCTCTGGATGATCCAAAGAAAGACAATCATGCTCCAGTTCTTGAAATTCAGATAGTAGATGAGCAAAGACACAGGGCTAAAGGTGATTCAGCTACAAAAACCTGACTTCTAGAACAAAGCACTAAAGAAACAGCATGAAAAGTACCCAAGTTATAACTGCTGTTTAAAAACTGATGTTCACATATGGGAAATGTTCAAGCAAGTTCAAAAACAAACAAAAATACAAACTGGCTTTAAATTATCTTTATATACAGAAGGCTTATTTTAGAAATCACATATATTATAAAAACATAGCAGGTATAAGCTGTTGTATGGAAACCAAGTCCATGTCCATATGCTATTCCTGGCATTTACACCAGCTCAAAACATTGTGGCTTAAAAAAAAAAAAAAAAAAAGAGAGAGAACACTATTCTGGAAACACAAAAATATTTTGATCTCATAAATGAAAGTCCTGAAATAGCTGTGACTATTTCCAAAAACTACATAGTAGGTATTATTTTAATTCATGAGCAATTAAAAAGATCCAATGGAACTTATGTTGGGGTCTATGATCATTGATCATGTGAATACATCAGCCAAGGCATGTGAAATCTCTGCTTTATGGTTTCATAGGTTGAAAGCAAAAGGAAAGTCAGAAAAAGTGGGAGTTTGGCTGGTCATTTTTTTGGTAGAAATGGTTAGGTGTCTTTTGATCTTCCAAAAGTGGCACTCACAGATGGCCAAGTTCATGTTGGAAAATCAGGATGTAAAATAAAACTATAAACTTGTATTTACTATGATCTGAAAAATATAGCTCTTTAGAAATCTGAATGAAAACCCTGTGATTCAACATGTTAAGAATGCTTACGATGGCTTTACAGACTAAGGACTTAAAATGATCACAAAGAATGATGACTACAGCACAGTTTTTATGCAGTAACTCCAAGTTATTGCAATATAGTTACTTTTACTTTAATCTTACTATTTCTATTAAATGATTCCAGATGATATTCCTAGGTACTGCTACCCAGATCATGAGATATTTGTTTTTTGGGATAAATATAAAACAAGGTTTACATTCGTACAAGGGGAGTTCAGGATTTTCTGACCAGCTAGAGCTGAATCCAGAAAAAGTCATCACCTAAAAAGTTTAAAAAAAAAAAAAGAAAACCTGTTTCAGTTGTTTAACTGCATAAATCTTCTGAGAATGCAGTTGCCCTATGCCTCTGTGGTAAGAAGTTACAGTTCACACTGGAGTACTGAAAAGATTTACAATCTCAAAAAAGCCAACTGATCTTAACTATTCTTGAAGATGAGCAACCCCTGGAAGCAACAGTGGGCTTACCTAATTTGATTAGATCGGATATATTTTCCTTTTTTTTTTTTTTTGAGTTGGGAGTCTCACTCTGCCACTGAGGTTAGAATGCAGTGGCACACTCACAGCCACCCCAGCGTCGACCTGCTGGGCTCAGGTGATCCTTTCGCCTCAGCTTTCCAAGTAGCTGGAACTACAGGTGTATGCTACCACATCTGGCTAATTTTTGATTTACTGTAGAGATGAGGCCTCGCCAAGTTGCCCGGGCTGCTCTTGAACCTGAGGGCTTGGGCAATCCACTTACCTCGGCCTCCCAAAGTGCTGGGATTACAGGCTGAGCCACTGAGCCCGGCCAAGACTGAATATTATTTTCAATCATTTCCCATCATGTCATACTCATCTTATCAGAAATAAATTGACTAAGAAGCATTGAAGGTACTAAAAAGATAATGTGGGAGGCATGATGAAAGATACAGCTCCTATTCATCCTCAGGAAAAACTGGTCATTCATTTTATTGAAGTGAAAAAATATATAACACTCAAGTTGCAGATCTGAGCTTTATTGTAAGAATGCTGTCACTTTAGGATAGAATGGATTCTCTACCATGGTTTCAATATGGCACAAAACTAAAACTCTCAGAGCTGCTTGGCTACTCATCTGTCAGAATGTGCCTGAAAAAGAAATACACTAAAGGTTATAACAGAACAGGCAGGGAGGGAGACAAAAGAACAAATGAGGATTCCTGGTGACAAAAGCATTTTAATTGTCTCTCCTTCTTCAAACGACCAAGAGATTCAAGAGAAATGGCAAGTCCTGTATTTACAAAACCGATGAAAATCACACTGTAATAATCAGTGAATGCAAGCAAATGCACAGATCTGCGTTTCCAACTTTTTCCACCATGATTCTACATCAAGGTAAAAAAAGATTCTTTTGTACAAATCCAAGAAGGATGGAGACAGAGGTAGCAGCACAACTGCCAAAAATGGTGCGCTGACTCACACCTGAAGCTGGTGACAAGACAAAGGGAAAGGCGGGCAGAGTCCTTGAGAGAGAACCCTGTCGTGAAGGGCTCAGTCGGTGGTTGACCTCCGGTACCAAAACCGTGCTCTGAAGTCATCGCTGCAAGTCATGAATCCAGGGTTGGTGGGCGAGTGCACGATGCAGCGCACGATGTTGTTGTGCCCCAGGGAGAGCAGGTTTCTTCGCTCAGCCGTCCTTGAGTCCCAGCAGCATAGACTGATTGTCCTTTCATCAGGCAGTAACACGTAGTCCTCGGTGTGGTTAAACACGGCCTGTGTCCGGTGCACCTGCCGTCCACTCAGACCCGCACCTGCCAGAGAAACCAAGAGGCTAAGTGAAGAGGGATAGCTTCTCAAGTCACAGCTTAGACTCTCAGAATGTTCTAGTGTTCAATGTAAAAACAGTATTTTAAAACTGTTAAATACACCTTGTACAACTTTGGAAAGTTAACAAGTATGAAAAAGAAAACCCCTCTAGGCTCACATCTGAGGCAATACTGTTACTGTTCTAATGTACTTGTAGGCATAAAAACACATGGAAAAAATGCATATAAAACGAGTACCACATTATGTATACTCTTCTACTATAGCTTTAATGAACTTTATATTGGGTACATTATTCCATGTTTTTTACTAGATGCAAAGTATCTGGCATTTAGAAGCACCATTACCTATTTAACAGTTCTTTTACTGCTAGACATTTAGTTTGTTATTAATTATAAGCAATGCTGTAATAAATATCCTTTGTGCTGGGTGCAGTGGCTCACACCTATAATCCAGTACTTTGGGAGTCGAGGTGAGAAGGTTGCTTGAGCCCACAGGTTTGAGACTAGCCTGGGCAACTTGGTGAGACCTCGTCTTTATAAGAAATAAAAAAAATTAGCTGGGCGTGGTGGTACATGCCTGTAGTTCCAGCTACGCGGAAGGATTGCCTGAGTCCAGCAGGTTGAGGCTGTGGTGGGCTGGGAGCATGCCACTGCACTCCAGCCTGGGCGACAGAGTGAGACTCCAACTCAAAAACAAAACAAAACAAAACAAAAACAAACCCTTTGTACAGAAAGCTTTATTTCCTTAGGAGTAAATGCCTAGAAATAGAATGAGACAAAGTGTATGAACACCTGCTTTCCCAAAGAACACATTATCCTTTTATAACTATGAATAAAATACCTATCTTAAAAGTACTACATAAAAGTATACAAAATATAAAAATTATCCGATAATTCTACCACTCAGAGGTAACACTTAATATTTTGGTCCAGTACCTTTCCTAAACATCTGAGTTTGTACACTCATTTGTAAATGCCTTAAGTCACATTTGCCATATGCTATTTGCATTCAAGAGTATGTAGTGGCCGGGCTCGGTAGCTCAGCTTGTAATCCCGCGCCTTTGGGAGGCTGAGGTGAGTGGATTGCCTGAGCCCGCGGATTCGAGACCTGTCTGGGCAGCGAGACCTCATCTCTAAAATAAATAAAAAAATCAGCCACGTGTGGTAGTGCATGCCTGTAATACCAGTTACTTGGAAGGCTGAGGTGGCCGGGAGCGGCCACTGCACTCCAGTCTGGGCGACAGTGAGACTCCAACTCAAAAAAAAAAAAAAAAAAAAAGAGTATGTAGTGAAGATCTACAAAGAAGGACTACAGCTTAATGGAAAAAACACAAACTTTGTGGCCAGATGTGGATTCAACATTTAGCAGTGATGTGACCCTGGGCAAATTACTTAATATCTCTCAACCTTAATTTTCTCATCTGTTCAATGGGGATAATTATAGCACCTACCCCATAAGGTTGCTGTGAGGTTTAAATTGAGGTAATGCACAAGGAGCTTTGCAGTATAAGTGTTCAACAAGTGTTACCATGAGTACTTATTTTTAAAGGTGGCATACTGTTGAGGGATGCATTTACTTAGCACTTATTGGTGGGCACTTATGTTATTTCTTTCAACTACTCCAAATAATGTTGAGATAGACAGCCTTTTATGTGCGTGTGCATGATTGTCCAATTATCTTTTTAGGTTGAACTTCTAAAAGTAGATATAGTGGGTCAAAATTATATATTTAAAATTTTGATATGACACCAAACTACCCCTCAGAAATATTTTACCAGTTGACTCTCCTACCAAGAAAATGTTGATTTCTTCAAATCTTTATCAATACTAAATAAGCTCAATCTTCAAAATCCCTGAAAATTCACCGATGATCAAAAAGATATTCTCCTTTTCATTTCTTAGGTCTGAGGTTGGCCATCTTTCTTGTATTTACTGACTATTTTTCTGTCTTTTATAAAATGACTCCATGTCCTTTGGCTGGTTTTCTGCCAAATTCAGGCTCATCTTTTTGTTTAAAAGTTCTCTTTACAGATTCAGGATATTAAACAATGTCTAATGGTATATGCTATACCATTTTCTCACTAGTCCAGTATTTTAATTGCTTATAGTATTTTAAATTGATTTTTAGTATAAAAATTTCTAATGTTTCCTTGACAGTTTTTCTTTATGTCAAGGAATCTTTGAATTCTAACTATTAAAACTGAAAACAGAAATCTTAAAGTGCTGACATGACAGGGTCTTAATCTGTGAAATTAGGGGAAAAAAAGGAAATTTTCATATAAATTCAGAATAATCACATTTTAAAAAACCACAATGTAATCCTCCACTAAAACAAGCCAATCTCGTATCACTATAAAACATTAGAAAACATCCATAAAACAAATATAATAAGCTCTTATCAGCAGTTTGGCGTTTCTGTCCAGATATAACATACTCATTAATACAGTGGTTATTATTTCTAAAGGGGTGGGGATGTTTTCACATGTTTACTCTGGTCATTTATGTATCTTCTTTTTGCAACAATCGTAGCTTTTTTTTTTTTTTTTGGAGTTGGAGTCTCACTGTTACCTAGGCTGGAATGCAGGGGCACGTTCATGGCCAATGCAGCCTCGACCTGCTAGGCTCAGGTGATCCTTCTGCTTCAGCCTTCCAAGTAGCTGGAACTACAGGCACACACCACCATGCCCGGCTACTTTTTTTGATTTACTGTAGAGATGAGGTCTTGCCAAGTTGACCAGGCTGGTCTCGAACCTGTGGGCTCAGGCAATCCTCTTACTTCGGTCTCCCAAAGTGCTAGAATTATAGGCGTGAGCCGCTGTGCCTGGCCAGTACAGTTCTTTAGTGTTTTAATGAAGTCACCAAGAATTATGATAAAATAAAGCAAACTCTGGATACAATGAGAAAAATCTAAGGTAGGTTATGCTGCACCCTAGTGGTACAAATGTCACTAACTCTTGCATTTTCTTCCCTAAGATGCTAACTTATTAACAAGGCAGAGTCCCCAAGAAAAGAGTGCTTTCTTGCAAATTTTTTGAGTTATGGTCATGGTGATGTTACTATATGACACAAATATATCTCACAACAAAGGAAACCAGTAAAAGTTTCCTGGAGTTTTTTACCAAACCACAGGCTTTGCCACTACAAGGAACAGAACACTCATTATTAACCAGGCTTGAACTACTGATAGGGTATATAAACAGATCTCATCACAGAAAGCCCACAGGCACAACTATTACCAATGAGAGAGACCTGCGACGTGAGTTAATGAGAACTCAATGAATCACTTTGTTTTTCTGTTCAGAACTCTTGTGCTCTCATTTGGGGACTACCTCTGCTCTCTTAGGAATGGGCCAAGATCATCCCCCCTCCGCCCCTTTCCCTATACAATACATTCAGATCTACTAAGGCTTTTCTCTGGGTTGCTTTCACATTTTTGTGGGAATAGCGCAGGCCATCAGTCTACATATGAACCACCAAGTTCTCAAGTGTTCCTCACATGGAATCCAGACCTAGTCGAAGGTGTGATGTATTAAGAGCAAAATTAAGAAAGCATGGCTCCTTCTTTTTTTTGGTCGAGACACATCTCTACAATATGCCTCTTTTTCTAGCTCTGCCTCTTACTAACTGGCTTTAGCTAAACCATTTAAACTCTTAAGACTTGACTTCTCTTATCTAAAAGAGTGATAACAACTGCCTTGCTCAATGCATAGATTTACTGCTTTGTTTACTGTAAAGAGCAAAAGAGTTCTGGAAACTGTAAAATGTTACAGAAATGTTAAGTAATATCAACTTTGCACGTACCCGTGTATCTGACCAGTGTTCTTCCTGTTGATATTTCCCAAAGTTTAGCTACAGAGTCTTTTCCACTTGAGAGAATATATTTAGAATTTTTGGAAAAAATTGCAGAACAAACTTCAGCACCATCATGTGCTTTCTCAAAAGTTGTGATACATCGATTTGAAACACCATCCCATAATTTGATGCAGCCGTCCTTGCTTCCAGTTACATACATATTGGCACTAGGATTGTAATTCACGGAACATATTGCATCAGTGTGTTGATCTTGAGGATTGCAAGAGACAAAACACTGAAAGGTGTTGATGTCATAAAGGCGAAGAGTAGGATGCTGAGTTCCAACAAGTATAAAGTCTCCAGAGGGATGAAAAGAGATGGAGCGTAACATTTCAGCCTCCTGTTGGGACAGAGAATTAATGTAAGTGACCAACTAGTGAACAATTAAGTCCACAGGGAACATGGAAAATGCCTGGCTGATGCAAAGGATCCATAGAGCAATGATCAGATATTATACAGGTGTCAGAAGGAATAAAAAGTACTTTCTGGAATGCATGAAAATTATCTTCGAATAGATTTCCAAAAGAAGCTGTCCTTTTTTTGTTTGTTTTAACAGTGAGGTACTGAGATAGGGTCTTGCTAGTTGCCCAGCTGGTCTTGAACTTCTGGGCTCAAGCTATACTCCCACCTCGGCCTCCCAAAGTGCTGGTATTACAGGCATGAGCCACCATGCCCGGCCAGAACAGCTTCTTTAATTTGCTCCAGGGCTGCAAACATTGAGAAATTAGGTTCAATTATTGAAAGATGGAAGCCATCACTAAAACAGTATTTCCTCAACGCATATTCAAAATAGGTCACCGAATGTCATTTTTCTAGTAAACATCTGACAGTTTCAATTGAATGCTTTTTTGATTCCTGTACATTATACTTTAGTGAATGGCCATGTTTTGTTTTTAACTGGGATCTGAAACCTTTAAAGAGTGACATGCATTCTGAACCCTTGTGTCATGAACTGTGACCAGCAGCAGTCCTGAGCAGTCAGAGGAAATGAACACAAGACAGCAGGTGAACTACATGTCAATAAAATTGGATAGCCGCACCATTGGCATGCATCCTGGTTGCTGTAGTCTTGTTTTACAGGATGATCACTGGCAATACTTTAAAGAGAATATTCATACAATAGCTCACTGTATTTAAGAAAAAACATAAAGCTCCTTTCCAAAGATTCCTAACCTGGATGTATTTGAAGGCTCTTTTTGCGGATGGTTTGGAATAATCAAATAATTTAAGAGTATAATCCCTTGACCCAGAAGCCAGGATCTGTTCTGTTGGGTGGAAAGCAAGACATGTGACTTCATCCACGTGGTCATAAAGAGTTCGAATCACTGGGTGGTTTTCCATATTCTGTTGTGCAGTCTCATTCATCATGACCTAGACCAAGAAAAGATGCTCAAAGTACAGAACCCATCTGAATCAAAGTATAGAACCCACATCCGTGGCAAACTAAAGCCTGTTTTAACTATATTCCTGTTTCCCCCAAAATGAACAAAAGGTGAATCACAGATGTGATACTGGGATTTTTACCTCTATTGGCATGGCACTTTTGGCCAACATTCTCTCTGTGTCAAGTATCTTTATGGAAGCATCAGCTGACCCAGTAGCTATTAACTGCCCATCTCTACTGTAGGTAGCTACACGGCATGGTCCTTTATGGGACGTGACATAGCACGTTTCGTACTCGGAAGCCTCTGGGGACATTGTCTGGACATCTGCATCAAACTCCAGGTCAATCCCTGTGCCAGGGGCAACTGTATCTGAACGACCAATTGCATACTGAACTGCAGTATCATCATTTTCCATTCCTGAAAGAAAGAAAAATTAGGGGTATAAAAGTATTTTTTTTAAAGGCCAAGAAAAAGTTCTGGATTCAAACTGGAAAGATGCTTGTCAAGGTCATCATGTATACTGCCATGCTACTCACTGCTCATATCACTGAGGCAGCATGGCCTGCTGGAAGGTCAGGTTCCAAAAGGTAAAGTCATTTCCCCAGGTTCTTGCCTCCAAAATTTATTACTTTTAACTACAACAACAGACACTCAGAAAAAACAAACCGAAAAACAAACCAAAAAAATCCCCACAGCAGTTCTGTAAATTGTCCATTTTCTGTCATTCCAGATTTTAATATTCTCAGGGTTGAGATCTATTAGTAACAACTACATTGATAAAATCGATATTAGTGAAATGCTTTGAAAGAATGCTGATGTTTACCAGGAATCTGCTTTAAATTTCAACGTATCTTCATACAGCATATAAATGTTAATTAGTATAAGATAAATTAGAACAGGGGAACAAGAAAGTAAAAAAGGCCTCATATTCTACCACTCCGAAATCACTATTATTAATACTGCATATGAATTATTCTGGAAACCCCCAACACAGCTTTTTTTGTTTTCAAAACAAAAGTAGACACATGCTGTGTAACACATTGGGACTTACTTGTTCATTTAATCATACAGAATGAAAATGTGTGTGAATAAATATTCATCCACATCATTATGTTGTATTTAATTTTATGGATATTTAAAGTTACAGCTAATTCCATATTGCTGGACATTTAAGTTTACCCATTTTACTTCCTCAGGACAAATTCTCACAACTGGCATTGCCAATTCAAAGAGTATAAACACATCCGGTAATTCAGTATTTCACTGAGTGCTTTCTATTATTAGCCAAACACTCACTGGACATACCACTGAACAAGACAAGTTCCTAATCTTTACCTATCTTAGTCTTTTTGGGGGGGAGAGGAGGCCAAGTGGGACAGTGAGGATTGTGTGGGAAACAACACAAATGACAAAGGCAATTTCAGAGTAATTCTGTTGTCAAAGAATGGGATCACTGTGAGAGTAATTGGGGAAATGTGGGAAAGAGAGTGGGATTACTGAATAAGGGGTAAGAGGACTCTGAGATGATATCAGAGCTAAAATGGGAAGGAGTCAGTACACAACGAAGAGTGTTCTAGGTAATGCACATAAAGACCCCCCCCCCGGCCAGAAGCAACTTCAAGTCTTCATAAGCTGGACTTCACTTACCCCCTCAGCATCCAGCACTGTATCTGGCACACAATAAGCACTAAAACTAAATGAAAACAATCCTGAAACTCTGCCATGTGAAAGCATCTAAACCTCACCCTGGGATCTATGAATCTGTGTTCACAAGCTACCTAGTTTGATGAGATGCAGGAGCTGCTCGGAGGGTGCACAGACAGACTGCGGCTTAATTTCATTGATGAGGCCATTAGCAATGCTGATGTAGCCATCGTAGAGCAGCTGGCTAATGATCAGCTTGTAGAGCTGCTGGCGGTCCTTCAAGCCCACTTTGGTTCTGTACATCTTGGAGAAGAGGAAAACACTCTCCTGTGAGCTGCAAGAAGGGAAAACAGGTGTGGTGAAGGGTAGAAACAACAGCAAATCACAGAAGCAACTCAGGACTCCTTGGTTGGACTTAATCTTACAGGGCTGAAATCCTGTCTCTATTAGCTTTGGTCAGTGACCGCATTTCTCTGAGTTCAGGTTCCTCAGCTGTAAAGTTACTGGAGGTTAAACAAGATGCTGCATAAAAAAACACTAAGCACAGTGTCCACCATACAGAAATTATTCAAATCAAGTTAGCCGATATTTACAGTAGGATCTCTCCTCAACGTTCCTTCTCTGCCAACTACCCACCTGTGATTTTTATTCTTTATTGCTATCCCAGAATCTTCTATCCCTTGTTAATTAAACAATGACTGGTGTTTGCAATATGCAAGACAGCTGCTATTCTGTCAATGTCTAGACTACTGTTTCCACTAGCTGTATGCTTACTAATGTCTTTATGTTCACTCTTAAAACCTGTTTTAAGGCAGCTAAGCTTGTTACTGTAATTACATAACTTTAAAACAAAACATGAGGGCAAAAAAGTCTATTGTACTATGAAGACTAAGACCAGCTGAATGCTTTATAAAGATTCAAAGGTGAACCGCTTAATAAGGCCAAAAAAGACACGAGGGTGATCTGGCCGTGGGATCTGGCACCCCACTGATTGCCAGAGTTGACTCGTCTGATTTGGCTGGCTAGGTAGGTATCCTCTTCCTCCCTTACTGCTCTATGTGCTGCCTTCTCGAAGCTGCACACTTGGTCGAAGAGGATGACCATCCCTGTTCTTTGGTCAAGGGTACATGAACAGCTGTGTTCCCCTGCTAGAACCTTCAAACAAGCTCTCAAGATAATGCCAAAACAATTATAAAAAAGGGGAAAAAAAAGTAAAAATCTAGAAGGACTGTGCACTCATTGATTTCCAAGTGTTTAAGCTCTTCTTCAGTCTTAGAAAATGAAACAGAAAACTGTACATGATGGTTTCTGGTTTATGAAAAGAAGTAACTCTAATTGGTGAAAATGTCCAAAAATCAACATCTACATATATGTGTATGTTTGGACAGAGAGCAAAAGGCTGCAGATATATGGGGACAGCAATAAAGAAAAAAATGTGACCTGAGAGCTTGAGTTCTTACACACTGTGATACTGATGGGTATCAACAATAGCAGCTAACATTTATTAAGTGCTTCTTATTGCCAGATACCATACTAAGCACTTTAGAAGCATTAGCTCATCGAATAAACTCATTCAATGTATTCAAGTATATGTAGAAGCAAACATACATAAACCTACACTTGTGCAGAAAATATTGAGACATAATAATGATGACGAAATGGGCTCAGAGGTTAGGACACATACTCAAGGTAAAGTGTGGCTGAATAACTCATCCAAGGTTCAAGTGGCTGCCAGAAGTGCCACTCCGGGGTCCAGAACTTAACCAAGAGTTCAAGAAATGCCACCCCAATATGTTTGGTATGCCGATTACTCTGAATGGAGGACACCTGGGGAACAGCATGCAGGCAGACGCTTTCTCTGAGCTCTCCTTATCTTTCTAAAGATGGAGCCTCCAAAAAAACCTCAAGGTCAGGAATCCTAATTAGCCAGGGAAGATGAACTGAGCTCAGGAGACTGAAGGGTGATACCACCCAGCCCAATCAGCTATCCTTCTGTATGCGTAACATGACAACTTTTATTCACCATACATGTGCTCCCCTCACCCTCCTGTAATTTGTGTCACACTGCCATACCCACTCCCAGAAGTCCCAAGCCCCCATTACTTTTAGGAGCTCAGGATGCTTGTTTAAGTCTCATATTTTATGGGACTCCCCTATGTAACTAAATATGGCTTTCCTCCTATAAACAGGGTTTAACGGGAAGAGAAAAAGGACAATTCTGAGACAGCAATAAAGAATAAAAATCGCAGGTGGGCAGTCTGGCAGAGAAGTTGGTACGAGATTCCACAGTAAATATCAGACAACATGAATTGAGCAATTTCTGTTGCTAGACACTGCGCTCAATGCTTTATACGCTCCACCTTCTTTAGGTTCCAGTAACTTATTTAACAGTAACATCTTACGTCAATTTAATTCGTAGCCCTCACAAGGAACCTAGAAAGATGGAGGGAAGCCATCTTTCGCTTCCCTACGCCTCTACCCTATTCCGTCTCCGCTCCCGCCGGACGCATCGCGGAAGTACAAAGAGACTTTTAAAGAAGTGGCCCGGCCCCCACTTCTCAGCGCTCATAGAATTTTCACTCGCTGGGCTAGCAGAAGCCTAATGATCGTCTCCGATCTGCAGGTGGGAACACGGAGGCACGAGGACAAGAACCCTCCCCACGACGCAGGACCGGTTACACCCGGCGTGGGCAGGGGGGCCAGGGGGAACACCGATGGCCCTCACCATAAGGGCCGCGACGGTCCCGAAGCAGGGGTGAACTAAGGATGGGGTGGCGGCGGGAGCGGGGCCCTCCGAGGAAGAGGAGGAGGTGTGCAGGCCGAGCCCGGCAGCTCGGGACATACGAACTCAGGGCGCACGCCACCCCGCTAACTCGCCCCTCTTCCCGCCTCGCCCCAGCCCTTCCTGTGGTCCTCTAAAGGCCCCGGCCGACCGCACCAACCACTCTCCCCGGATCCCGGTACCAGCTGGTCCCGCGCTCTCGGTCTCCCGCTCTCTCCTAGAAAAATGGAGGCGCGAAGCCTGCCCAATCGAGCGTTCCGAGCGCACGTTGACTGCGCACGCGCAAAGGGTTCCAAGCCGAGCACGACGCTATCGATCGGACTCACTCTCTCTTGCCCTTCTCGCCATCTTACTTACTGGCACTTTCAAAAGTTTCGTTGACTTCCTCGGACTTTATCGCTTATACGACAACCCTGACCTCAAGGGGCTGTTGTCTCATGGGCAAATGCCCGATTCAGGAGGGCACCGCTGGCACTAAGACTGTCACAGGTCTGGTGGGGCTGTTAACCCCACCGCTTCCGGGACCTTAGAGAGCAAGTGCGCTTGCGTGGCGTCTTGCAACGTGACTCAAGCGTCGGATTTGTTGCGAACCAATCACAAGTCAGCCTCTCTCTAACTCCGGCCAACCAACTTTCGACCTAGAGAGTTTAACTCCCATTTAAAACCAGAGCCTTTGAATCCTAACGGCTGAGCTCTCGGAGCACTCGGGTCCTTGGGTCGGAGTCGGGAGCCTACGGGTGGGTAGGCTGTGGGGGCTAACGCTGTCGCGGGGATGAGGCCTGGGACGAAGGGCGGCCGGCCGGGTGGTCTTTGCGCGGGCGGCGGCGCCGCGGGCCGGAGAGGGGACGAGGCAAGCGACAAGTCCTCCCTGGGTCTCCCGTCCCGGGGTCCAAGTCCTCAGGGTTCTTTGCCCCCCCTGCAACTCTCCATCTGCTCCTGGGCACCGAGGCTCCCTCTCTAAGATGCTGCTTGTTATTGATGACAGAGGTGGAAGAAGATTAAGTGGGGTTGGCGGGCGGCGGAGGGAAGCGGGGGGAGGGGACGGTTTACTGACTGGATCTTAGACGGTGCTCACCCGGGTAAGAAAAACACAGAAGGTATCTCTGCTGTGTGGGAAATGACGTCCTCGTGGGGGTGGGGAGACGAGCTAACAAGATCACTCGCAGTTGTGAAGGGTGTTAAGTAAAACAGTAGCGTGGTTTCACGGGGGCTGCGTTAGTTCGACTGGCCTGGGAAGGACCTTGTCCCGGCCGGATGAGGGGGTGAATAGGCCTTCCTGGGCTTGTGTTTCTCAGACCGTAACCCTCGCAGCGGTTACAGCGGGATTCCTTGAAGACCTTGTTAAAACTGTAGCCTTCCCGAGAGCCCAGTGCCTTAGATTCAAGTGTCTAGCTGTTATTAACAAGCTGTCCAGGTGATTCTTGTTTCAGTGATACAGAACCGTGCATACCAATCACCTGGGGACGTTAAAATGCAGCGTCTGTTTCATTCTGGGGTTAGGCCTGAGAGTCTTCCTCTCTAAGAAACATCCGGGTGAGGTTGATGTAGCTTCTGTCCTTGCTTGTTAACGTCTCCACTTCCTTAACCTCTTCTTTTCCTAGAATTAAACGTTTTTTCAGCAACGTGCTCTGTTCCTCACTCCTCCCCTTCATCTCTACAGACTTTCACAGGCGGGGGGGGGGGGCCATAATAACTTCCTTCTGTGTTGTTAACAGTTTTTCAGCATAGTAGTATCTCTGGTTTGAGCTTAATGGATCTTGTGTCGGTCACCTGGTTCCTGAATCTGGCTGTAGATCAGAATCTGCTGAAGAGCAGACTTCCCAAGGGCTTTCCCCAGAATTTTGGACCCAAATCTTATTCCGTTCTGCGTATTCAGTTTCCCTAAGAAGAAACGTAGAATAAATTGGAGCAAATGTCTGTAGCTTCTGTCAGAAGAATTTTATAAATGTCCTTAGGCCTATGTGATCTCATTAGTCTACTACTGGGAAGTTTTTAGGGAAAGTGAAGAAAGCATTAGAGCATGTGGTGAAATTAACGTTTGCTTAGGACAGGCATTTGTTTTTATGATTTTTGCTACTCGCTGTTTTTTTAAATAAGGGCTCCTGGTTCTTTAATCCTGGTCCAGTCTTCATCATGGAGTTATTTATAAAATGGATGGGAATTACTTTCCGATGATTCTAGAATCCAGAGAGCACCTGGTTAAGAAAAGTCCCTACTTGATGGTTGGGCCTGACTCACAGTGTGGTCTTACTAAATGTTATAAACAATTTTTATTATTGATTTCCTTTGTTAGTGGATCATTTGTAAAGCACTTGCGTGCATGTTATGTTCTAAGCACTGGGGTGACAGCAGTGAACAAAATGGATGGGTCTAAGCCCTTGCTTTCATGGAGGTTATTTCTGTGGCGATTCTGAGCGGGTAGCTGGATATCTGAGTCTGGGGAGAGACAGTAAACTGATGCACATAACATTTATGTAAGATGTTAAGGGCTATGGAGAAAGAAAGGGAGAGATGATTCTGAAAGGGGCATTTGATCAGAGACCTCAGTGAAGTAAAGAACTGAGCTGCACACCCGGGAGAAGAGTCTAATAGGTAGAGCAGGCAGTGCAAAGGCTCTGTGGCAGGGAACTTGTTTGAGGAAATAGAGGAACCTTATGTGTGTGCAGTGGATGAGAAGAGGAGAGGTGGTTGGGGTGCATGTTCTCTGAGATGTCACAGACCTGTCTGTAGGCAGGAGTTTATATTTCCTTGATTTGAGGGGGGGGCTTCTGAACCATAGATCACAACATCTGACTTGTTAATGGGATCGCTGGCTGCAGTGTTGAGAGTAGATCATAATGGGGCAAGGGTGGAAGTGGGGAGACCTTGGGAGCTTGTTGCAAATAATCCAGGTGAGAGAGAATTGTGGTTTTCCAGGTGGTGGTAGTAGAAGTGGTGAGCAGTGATTTTGAAGGTAGAGCCTACAAAATATACTTGGAGTTTGAAAGACAGAACTGTGTAAAGGATTATGCCAAGACTTTTGGCCTGAGCAGCTGAGAGGATGGATTTGCCATCAAGTGAGATGGGGACATCTGTGAGACTAGATCTGGGGAGGTGGGAGTGGAGAGGGACTAGGACTTCAGTTGGGAACATGTTAAAATTGAGATACTTCTCGGATAACGAGGTGCAAATGTTGCACAGAAGGTAGGAAATGTAAGTCTGAGGTTCAAGGGAGAGGTCTAGGCTAGAGAATGGATACCTGGGAAGACTCAGCCTGTGGATGGTATTGAAAGCCAAGAGACTGGATGAACCTACCTAGGGAGGGAGTGTAGATAGAGAAGTAGGTCTGGGCCTGAACTCAGAGCCACACCCGTGAGCAGGAAGGGGAAACTAAGTGTGGAGGAGAGGAGGGATTTTCTATTGGGTGAGTTGGGAGTGAGATGCCTGGCAGACATTTCTGGGAGCTTCTGATCAAATACTTTGATATCTGAGTCTATCAGAAAGATGATAGGGCAGAAGATGCATTTTGAGTTATCCTCATAAAGATGTTTGGAGCTGAGGTGCTGGGTGATGTGGGTTGCTACGAAGGGTGTTGATGGAGAAGTGGAGGGTCAAAGGACTCTCAGACACTCAGATTGGGGAAGAAATGTGGGTGATCTAGCAGAGAAGGTTGGGACGGGACAGCTCGTGAAGTGGGAGAGAAACCCGGAGGCGAAAGAACTGTAAAATGTGGTTATCAGCCTTGGGGAACTATGCTGAGAATGCGAGTAAGATGAGGGTGGCAGCAACTGGAGCCAACCATGAGTCTGATGTGAGGATTGACAAGCCCATGGTGGGAATGGACTCAGGAAGGGAATAGGAATAGAGAGGACGAGTAAGGGTAGTTCTGGGGCTTTACTGTGGAAGGGGAGGGGAGAGGGGTCATTTTTTGCAGTAATTATAAAGAGGATGTTGAAGGTAGCAGGTATTCCAGCAGGCTACCCAGGGGTGGAAGTGAGCCCATAGAGATGACATGATGGAACAGCAAAACAAGTCTGTTTGGGAGTGAAGTCTTGAGCGTGTGAGGGTGGGGAAAGCAGATGAGAAAGCACTCCTCCCTCATCAGCTTCATCTGGACAGAAAGTGCAAGATCCTATGTTGTGGAGGCTGTTCATCCGGATGCTATAATTCTGCCGATCCTAACAATCACACTTTGAAACAGGTGACTTTGTTTAAATTAAGGATTCTTTTTCTTTTCAGGCATCATGGACGGATCTAAAGAAAACTGCATTTCAGAGCCTGTTAAGGTAAATTGTATGATCCATAATCTCAGTCCCATTTATAAAACTCAATATGGAGGTTGGTCTTGTACCTAGAATGTTTTCCACCTTTACTTTTGATCCCCTGCTGCCATACTGAATGTGAATTAGTCACTCTTGCAGCCAGTATCATTTTGGTGGTTCTCTTGCATAACTTTTTTGTTTCGCCTTGTGGTTACCTACATCTCTCCACTGTGTGCAGCATATTGGGTAGCAATGGACTCAACAGGAGTCCCAAACTTGCCTATGCCTTCTTGCTTGCCAGAAATGAATTTTGGGGCATAGTTTGTTCTGATCATAATGTGGACTTTTTTTTTTGGCTTGTTTTTAGGCATCTCCTTCAAATAAGTATTACCTACTTTTTTGGCTAGAAGTATAAAAGGACCAATTAGAAAAAGGCTGCCTTTAGGCACTGTATTTGCTTCTCAGTTCCCATGACAGAGACTGTTTTAAAAAAATTGTTCTCTGTTTAAACGTTTGTTATTTGTCTCTGCCTGAATGTCTGCTGTGTTATGAACACTGCTAATTTCAGAAGTAATTGACTTTGTACTTGAAGTCTTAACACCCTCTCTTTGTAAAGCCTCATACATGTAAGCCATTGCGGGCTTGTAAGCTTCAGTGTCACTTCAGTTCGCTTGCCCCTCACCATGGGCTGTTGAAGCTGAAGGAAATGTCGCCCTTCTCATTTTAGTTTGTTTGGCTCAAGGTCTTAGAGTTAACTTAACTATTTATGCTTGTAATGCACTACTTACAGGGATATAAATACAACATTTTAGTAATAACTGTTTGAAGAGCCTACATTTGGTTTCTCTTTGTCAGAGTTTTTTGCTCAAGTTCGTTTTGTAAGTACTTAGAAAATGAAACGTTGGTTAATCAGTAGTACAGCAATAAGCTTCTTGTGGAAAACCTTATAGATACCAGCATTTAGATTCTTCCAAAGCGTCTCTTGAAGATAACCACTGTTGAACATTTTGATCCATCTTTGTCTTTTTTCTAAACATATGTATTAAATTTCAATGGAATGAAATGTTATAAAGTCTTTATATCATAGCTTTTTGCCAAATAACAATTTAGGACTATATTCTCAAGTCATTGGGAATTTTTAGAAAGTGCTCAATTGGCAATTTTTTTTTTTTTAGTTGGAATTTTACTTTGTCACCCAGCTAGAGTGCAGTGGCACACTCACGGCCACCATAGTCTCAACCTGTGGGCTCAGGTGATCCTTCCATCTCAGCCTTCCAAGTAGCTGGAACTATAGGTACACACTGCCATGCCTGGCTAATTTTTTGATTTATCGTAGAGACGAGGTTTTGCCAAATTGCCCAGGCTGGTTTTGAACCCTTGGGCTCAGGCAACCCTCTCACCTCTGCCTCCCAAAGTGCTGGAATTGCAGGCATGAACCACCATGCCCGCTGGACGTTTGTTAATGGAGCTTTGTTTTTTTTTGTTTGGATTTATTTTGGTGAAGGGTGAGGAGTTGGGATGGGAGGTATCATTCAGGTATTCTTATCGGCCATGTACTAACTATATCCTCTGAAAGTGCTGATTAAAATAGCTTTCTCCTTTCCATCTATTATCAGTGATGTTCATTATTTTGTTATACTAGAAAACAAACTGTGAAATTCCCAAAATATTCATCTTTCATTCATGAAGACCATCAAGTTTCTTTTTCTTTCCACGCAGGCTACGGTTCCACTTGGAGGTCCAAAACGTGTTCCTGTGACTCAGCAACTTCCTTGTCAGAATCCGTTACCTGCAAGCAGTGGTCAGGCTCAGCGGGTCTTGTGTCCTTCAAATTCTTCCCAGCGTGTTCCTTCGCAAGCACAAAAGCTCACGTCCAGTCAGAAGCTAGACCAGAAGCAGAAGCAATTGCAGGCAACTGGTGTACCTCATCCTGTCTCCAAGCCACAGAGCAATACCCAAAAGAGCAAGCAACCCCAGCCATCAGCACCTGGTAAACTAGCTTTGTGCGACTCATTGGGTAGTCATTTTTTAAAGCTGCTGCTAAAAAAGCAAGTGTATAGACTTGCACTTACCATTTGGAGCCCTGGCTTTTCTGTCATATCTACTGAGGATGGGGAGAAAATGTGGTGTCCAGGTTGAAGTAGCAATGCCTACTGTGGACCAGTCCTGTGCCAACAATACAGACCTGATTTCTACCTTCTTGGAGGAGCCGGGTAACCCCATGTCCATCTGATTGCTTGTTAGTGGGTCTGGGAATTTGCAGCAGGTACACTTGAGGAACTGGGACGTTCCACAGTTTTTTGCCACGTGGGGGATATCCAGAGAAGTGAATGAGCTAAGGCAGGCATGGGCACTGCTGGGGTGTTGGAAAACTCTGCTGAAGGTTTTTTGAACAGAGAAGGGACTGATTTGCCTTTTAGGAAGCTGACTCTGAAGGCACTTGAATGAATTGGAGAGTAGCAATACTGGATCCAGGAGTACCAGATAGGAAGAAGGTTGAAGTCAGAGATGGCAGTGACCTGAACTGTGTGGAGTGGGATAGATGTCACTTACCAGCTGCTGGGTGCTCACATGCCACAGACTCTGAGATGTGTGCCTCCTTCATCCACACTGTCTCATTCAGTCCTTGTAACCACTTAGGAATGTAGCCAGAGTTCTTAACTTAATTCAGTTTTACAGAGGAGGAAGCCAAGACTCAGAAGCAGTTGATTTATCCAGAGACAAAGCTAAGACTGAGAGGTGTGGACAAATTTAAGAGCCCTTTTAAGATGCAGACTAGCTGGGCTCGGTGGCTCAGCCTGTAATCCCGCGCCTTTGGGAATCTGAGGTGAGTGGATTGCCTAAGTCCGTGGGTTCAAGACCCGCCTGGGCAACTTGGAGAGACCTCATTTCTACAATAAATCAAAAATGAGCTGGGCCTGGTAGTGTGTGTCTGTAGTTCCAGCTACTTGGAAGGCTGAGTCTGAAGGATCGCCAGAGCCCAGCAGGTCGAGGCTGAGGTGGCCGGGAACGGCTACTGCACTCCAGTCTGGGCGATAGAGTGAGATTCCAACTCAAAAAAAAAACAAAAACAACAACAAAAAAAAGCAGACTCAGTAGAACTGGGCAATTCATTGAACCTGAAAGATGAGTAAAGAGGAGGTTTTATTGATGATATTATCTGAGATGGTGAACCATGAGGTGGGAAAAAACCACTTGGGACCTGCTTTCAGACATCTGGGCAGAGCATCTGTGCTGTTTGAGGTTTTTTTTTGCTGGGTGGTGGGGGCGGGGGAGGGTTGGAGTCTCATTCTGTTGCCCAGGGTGGAGTGCAGTGGCACGATCATGGCCACTGTAGCCTTAACCTGCTGGGCTCAGGCAATCCTTCTGCCTCGGCCTTCCAAGTAACTGGAATCACAGGTGCGTGACACCAAACCCAGCTAAGTCTTTGATTTATTGTAGAGATGAGGTCTTGCCAAGTAGCCCAGGCGGGTCTCAAATCCCTGGGCTCAGGCAGTCCTCTCGCCTCTGCCTCCCAAAGTGCTGGGATTACTGGTGTGAGTTACTGTGCCTGGCTGCTATTAGAGTTTGAAGCGTCGGGATCAGGTGTGAGCCACTGCTCCTGGCTGCTATTAGAGTTTGAAGTGTTGGAATAGATGTGGAAATGTCCCAGATGTTCTTGTGGCTAATGAAGTAGTCACCTGTTACACAGCTGGTTTGTTGTACATTTTGGTGAATTGGTAGTTTCTATTTTTGATATTTCCCCTTGGAACTAATATAGTGGAAGAAGGGTGACTGGCTTGCATTTTGTTGCATGTTGATAATTTGTATGTAGCATATGGGCAGTTGACTGGCCTGCCTAGTGGGGGAAAGGTGACAAGGCAGCTTGTCATGAATGGAAAGATTGGTAATTCTGCCAGAGAAGCTCTTTATTTGGAAACTGAGGGGTCCAGAGAATTTACATAATCTATAATTTATTACAGGAGAGTCTAACTATATTTGTGTTTGCTCATCTTTACTCTAGAAATTCTGTAAAGACTTCACATGTTGGAAGTCAGATTATGGTTGAGCAGTCTTTTCTACAAAGATTTCTTATTGTAAAGTCCAGATTTCTTATTCTTGATATATCATTAATATTTTGGTGCCATTCTTTGATTCATCTGTAGTCACAGCTTTTTAACTTATCCCATTTAATTATTCTAAAAACAGGCTTTTAACTTATTCCATGTAGGAAATAATCCTAAGGAGGAACTGACGTCAAAACAGAAAAATGAAGAATCAAAAAAGTAAGCTTTCTAGTTTTTACAAGTTCCGTACTATTATTCTACTAGAATTTACCATTTCATTGCAAATTTAGTTACGAGAACTAGAAAAAAAATTGGTCTTTATTTTTATTTAGAAGATACAAATGTTTTCAGATTGCCAATCTTAAAAAGAGAATGATTTTTATGTAATGATGGATTTTACTACGGATTCTGAAGGATTTTTAAATTGCTTTTCAAATTTAGAAAAAGCTTGTATGGCTTCTTCTATCTATGTTATAGGAATATGTAAAAGTTACTCTCTGCCCTCAGAAGTAACCATTACATATGGTTTATATATGCATCTGGACTTTTTTATTGTACAAAAATGGAAACTGCATTTTGTTTTTTTGAGTCAGAGTCATACTCTGTTGCCTAGGCTGGAGTGCAGTGACATGCTTATGGCCACCAACAGCCTTGACCTGCTGGGCTCAGGTGATCCTTCCAAGTAGCTGGAATGACAGGTGCATACCACCACACCCGGCTCATTTTTTTTTTTTATTTATTGTAGAGACGAGGTCTCGCCAAGTTGCCCAGGCTGTTCTTAAACTCCTAGACTTGGGCAATCTTCTCACCTCCCACAATTCTGGGATTATAGGTGTAAGCCACTGCGCCTGGCTAGAAGTTTCTTAAAAACAAAACATGTCACAACTATATACCCATATGTGACTTTGAGTGTCTTGATAGTATTTTTAATTTTTATTTTTTTAGTCAGGGACTCACTCAGACTGGAGTGCAGTGGTACAATCATGGCTTATCGCAGCCTCACACTCCTGGGCTCAGGCGATCCTCCCTCCTCAGCCTCCTGAGTAGCTAGGACTATAGGCACCAATCATTATAGAGACTAGATCTTGCTATGTTGCCCAGGCTGGTCTTGAATGCTTGGGCGCAAGCAATCCTCCTGCCTTGGCCTCCCAAAGTGCTGGAATTACAGACATGAGCTACCAGTCCTATTGACAGTATAACTTATTTTAGTATTCTTTATTATAAAGATTGGTGTAATATCTTCCCCAGACATTTTCTAAAAATTTCCCAAGCTGTCAACTGTCTGGACTGTAGAATGTAGGAGGAGAAACCAGGAATGAACCCATAGCCTTTTTGCTTTTAACTACCTCTTGGAAGCTTTCTAAGAATCTAAAGCCAATGGCTCCGGTGCCCCAAATGGCCTCTGGGGTCTATCCTGCTTCCATCAGTAATGGCAGCTCTGCGTCCTCTACCAGAGTAGTTCTCCACCCAGAGTGTTAGCATCTTTGGGCTGGTGGGGGGTGACCGTGGTTGGTTTGAAGGAGGCCCCAGATAGTTATTCTTTTTTATAGACTTGCTCATTGTCAATAGGTCTCTCCTCATGAGCATATTGTAGCCTTGGGACATTTCCTATCAAGTAGCTCAGCTCTACAGACCCATGACTGTTTCTTGTCACTGATTCACACACTTAATGGCAGCTGAGGAAATCAGGGTTCAGAGTTTGTGATGACTCAATTCATAGTTTTATTGGTTTGGTTCTTGCTGAGGGTACATATGGAGTGCAGTTTTGAATAAGAAATTATTTATAGGTGTGTCTACTAACTGAAAATGTGTCAGAAAAAATGTTTCTTCACGGTCTAAAATGTTCAAGTTCCTTCCTAGGAGACAATGGGCTTTGGAGGATTTTGAAATTGGTCGCCCGCTGGGTAAAGGAAGGTTTGGTAATGTTTACTTGGCAAGAGAAAGGCAAAGCAAGTTTATCCTGGCTCTTAAAGTGCTGTTTAAAGTTCAGCTGGAGAAAGCTGGAGTGGAACATCAGCTCAGAAGAGAAGTAGAAATACAGTCCCACCTTCGGTGAGTTTTTGAGGAATGTTTGAAAGAGTGGGGCACAGTCGTTCCACTGCTCTCCTTCCTGTCATGTCTGCCTTCCACCACCTGGGCCCACTCATTCTCCCTAATGATTTATTGTCCCTCAGAAGCATTGTCTGCCTTCCCCATCTCCCACCTCTCCTATGGAAAAGGGTATATAAGCTTGTGCACCACACCTGGTTACTGGGTCATAATTATCCTGTGATATCCCCTGTGCTATGAAAGTGAAAAAAAAATTGTATGCCTTTTTTCCCTGCACTCTCTCCCTCAAAGTGCACGGGACTTTGTTTGTAAAAGCTAAAAGAGTATAAACTTCTTTTTAGAGGGTCTGCTGCATATATCACAAAGTACCTAAATCTGTCATTTTTTTCCAAGATTTATCTAGATGTTAGTGCTGTGATCTTGGAAAGTCAATTGAGGATTTTAATGTTTTGTTAATGGAATAATTTACATGGACAAATCTTTTTGGTGGGTAATTTAGAGGACTGACACTCCATATTCTGAGGTATGCAGGGGTTACATGCAGCAGCCTATAGATTGACTTGGGAGGGAGGTTTATTTTGTGTTTTTTAAAATTTGAATGAAATGCTAAGACTTAAAATCTGGCCACATCAAGTCTGTGTCCCTACCTGGCAACACCCAGCTGCTGTTGGAAAGAGTGGGGTCTCAGAAGGGCCATGCGCTACACTGTTCGTAGTCCACATGTGCCCAACCTGCTGCTGTTACTGATCACTGCTGTCATCTGTCTCTGGGTATCAAACTACTATGGGAAGACCATGCCCCCCCCCTTTTGTTAAATATACAGAGAATTAATATTCAGCTGCATTTCCCCCCTAAGAGTAGAGATGCTTAAAGGAAGGAAATAATTGTATTAACTAAACCTGAGGACCATTAATACTTTGAAATGCATGTAAAATGATATGTGGATATATGTGCTTTCCTTGGAGTGGGTCTATAGTTTCAGATTTTCACGTGGAGCATGGGGGCGTTTGGGAGGGCTTAGAAGGTACTTTAATGTGAAATACACTGGTTTTATGTGAGCAGTGTTTTTGATATTTAGTACATTCTCTTCTATCAGCTCCAAAACCAGGTGTTAAGAGTGTTTATGCTTTGTTGCAGGCATCCTAATATTCTCAGACTGTATGGTTATTTCCATGATGCCACCAGAGTTTACCTAATTTTAGAATATGCGCCGCTTGGAACAGTCTATAGAGAGCTTCAGAAACTTTCAAAATTTGATGAACAGAGAACTGCTACTGTAAGTTTTTATTTTCAGACTAATTCCATTTCTTTTATACCTCTCCTCAATAGTAGGTATTAACATTTCTTTTATACCTGTCCTTCATTGTAGTAGAGTGGATTTTGTCTTAATAAATGGATAGCTTAATAGGATCAAATATTTGAAATGGAAAATGAAAATAGCTTAGTTGTACCATATGTACTGATAAAGTTAGGAACCAGGTAGAATGTTGGGGCTGATGTGACAGTTTGTTGGCATAGCTGTTTTTCTATGCAAACACATAGAGGTAGTTGCCTTCCTAAAATTATTTTTTGGAGGGTGGGCCTCTTGTAGTACAGGCCCCCTCCCCGCCACTAGGTAAGTGTTCTAGGAACCCATCGGTTTTTATCTGGAAGTTTTGAGAAGGTTGTGTCATGATTTGCAGAAGAAACATCCCAAGTTGTGGCAAACAGGTGACTGGTTCTTCCGCCATGACAATACACCTGCCCACTCTCCCTATTCACTTGGACCTTTTTTGATTACCTGGATGAAAATAGTCCTGAAAGGGAAACGTTTTGCTGATGTGAAAGAGGTGAAACAAAAATGGCAGAAGCACTAAAAGGCATCAACACTGAGAAATTCAAAAACTCTTGAGCAGTGGAAATAGCATCTCGTAGGTGTATTGCATTAAATGGAGAGTACTTTGAAGGTGACTTAAGTTTAAACACGTAAGAATAAATATAGACTGAGCTCAATGGCTCAGCCTGTAATCCCAGCACTTTGGGAGGCCGGAGTGAGTGGATTGCCTTGAACCTACTTGTTCGAGACCAGCCCAGGCAACTTGGTGAGACCTCATCTTTACAATAAATAAAAAATTAGTGGGGCATGGTAGTGCCACGTGCCTGTAGTTCTGGGTACTTGGAAGGCTGAGGTGGAAGGATCACCGGTACCCAGCCGGTTGTTGCCAGGGTAGCTATGAGCGTGCCACTGCACTTCAGCCTGGGTGACAGAGACACCAACTTAAAAAAAAAAAAAAAGAATAAATACACAATTTTTAATAAATTCTGAATTTTTTCAGGGGGGTCCCCTCATATATATATATATAAATGTTTTATTTTAGAATAATTTTACTTTTTTTTTTTCTTAAGAGATAGGATCTTGGTTTTTTTGCCCAGGCTGAACTCAAAATCTCTGGACCCAAGGAATTCTCCTGCCTCAGCCTCCCAAGTAGTGGGGATTGCAGGCACACACCACTGCGCCTAGCTAGAATAGTTTTAGATTTACAGAAATTATGAAGACAGTACAGATAGTTCCCATATACCCCACACCTAATTTCCTATTTACTCTCCTATTAACATCTTGCATTAGTATGGTATTTTTTTTTTACAACTAATGAACCCATATTGATAAATAGCTATTAATTGAAGTCTACACCTTATTCAGATTTCCTTAGTTTTTATTGTGATTAGACTGGGGCTATGGGTTTTTGAAAGAAAGATCACAGAAGTAAAGTGTGTTCTCATCACATATCAAGGATGTAGGCTCTTAACATGACTTACCACTGTTGATGTTAAGCTTGACCACTTGACTGAGATAGTGTTTGCCAGGTTTCTCCGTTGTAAAGTTACTATTTTTTCCCCTTTCCATACTATATTCTTTTTAAGGAAGTTACTGTGTGTAGTTTACATTTAAGAAAGTGGATGGCTTATCTACATAAATTATGTGGAATTCTGTACCAGAGATTTATCTGTTTTCCCTTATTCAGCCATTTATTTTAAAATGTGGACTCATGGGTATTTTATACATCGAGTTATAATCCAATATTACTTGCCTTTGTGGCTCAAATTGTTGCAACTTGGCCACTGGGAGCTCGTTTTCTTTTACATGGTTCCTGTGAAAACCATCATTGTGGTTTTGTTTTGCTTTTTTGTACTTCCTTTCTGGTACAGGATGCTCAAGCCTTATCTTGTATATGTCATCCCCCAGTCCTAGACTCAGCTGTTTCTCCAAGGAGCCCTGGTTCTGTTTACTGGAGGATATTATTAGAAACCAAGAGTTGGGCACTGGGTATACTCATTGCTACTGGGATGTCATTACTTCTAGGCTGTCTCAGCTGACAGAGCAAAGGAATATATGTGTATAGTCATCCGTGTATAGATTCATCCAACTACCTCTAAGTTAGATGGAATTCATACTTATGTCTTCCACTCAAATCTGTTACCATGTGGATCATTCTGGCCTCCTCCCTGGCTCATCTGTAAACTCTCACTCCAGCAATGAGAAGCCTGGGTTTTACTACCCGCTGTCCTTTCCCCTTTTCAATTCCAGTGTGTAGGTATGATGGCATCAGTGTTGTCAGTTGGCCACCCGGTGGGAAACAGCTTAATTCACTGAGTGCTCATGTGCAGTCCCTCTGTCTTTGGTTTACAAACTCCACTCATTTTCAGAGTTGTTAGAATCAACACTACCCACCACGCTATGTCTACAATGGTGACATACTATCTTAAACTTAAATGTAGAAATAGATGTCTTTTATTTGCTTTTTAATATTAGCTAAACAGGCCAGGCGTGGTGGCTGACGCCTATAATCCTAGTACTGTGGGAGGCCGAGGGAGGGGATTACCTGAGCTTATGGGTTCGAGACCAGCCTGAGCAACTTGGCAAGACCTCATCTCTACAATTATTAAAAAAAAAAAAAAAAAAAAAAAAAAAAAGCCGGGCATGGTGGCACGTGACTGTAGTTCAGCTATTTGGAAGGCTGAGGCGGAAGGATCGCTTGAGACCAGCAGGTTGAGGCTGTGGTGGCCATGTGTGTGCCACTGCACTCCAGTCTGGATGACAGAGTGAGACTCTGACTCAATAAATTAAAAAAAAAAAAAAAATTAGCTAAACAAATTAGTGTCTTACTTAATTGGCTGTTAACATTTCTTATGGGCATCTTTTGGGCCAGCTTTCTCTTTCATACCAGGAAGGAAATCTACATTCATTAGTGGTAGTGACTCTGCCCGAGGTACTAAAATATTACCTGTTTTGTTTTGTTTTTCCTTGTAGTCTTGCTTATGGTGGATTGTAGTTTTGTTTTGGTTTTGGTCCGTTACTCTTCAGTTTCTGATATTGATAACCTACTTTTAAAAGGTTTACCTTATACTGAGATTCTACGATTATTTATACATTATTCTGTTTTTGATGGAATTTATTTTGGTGTAAGCAGATAGGTATTTTAAAGTAAATGAAAGATCTTTCCAGATTCCTTAGTAGTTAGAATGAATACACACACCTGTTTTTATTTTGAGATGAATTCAAATGAAACTAATTGTGGAAAAGTGTCAGGGATCTGTACATATCCATAGTCTAATAGCCTGTGAGGTGTGGAGAAAGTTGTGCCGGGGCCTCTGATGACACTAATGGCTTCCAGAGATGATTTGAAGAAGATCAGTCCATTGCCCTCTGGACTGTTAATGTGTGCAATTAAAGCATCAGCCACTCCAAGCTGGCATCGTGGAAGAGCAGGTTCGTGTTTCCCATCAGTTTATTGTGGTGTAATTTTGATCTCTTTGACTTTGGACTGAAATAATGAAAGTTGTCCTTTCTGACAGTGACATTTGGCTGCTACCCATTTGTTTAGTAAATGATTTGGGTGTGAAATTATGTTTAATCCTGTCTAGTAATTACTTTGGAAAGCAAACTCTTCTCAAACTTTAGCCAGAGCTAAATATTAGCTTAAATATTACAAATTAACAGTTCCATATGATAAAGTAAATTTTGAACTTGCTTGCTAAATCTTAAGTTGAGAAAAGGATTAACAAAAGGACTGATGTCTTATGTACTTTTAGGCCCATTTATTATGCCCCCACATTTGACATGCTATTTAATATGCCACTGCTTTTAGTTTCTGTTTATCTCACTTTGTTGCCCAGACTGGAATGCATTGGTACGATTAGGGCTTACTGCGGTCCTGATCTCCTGGGCTTAGGCAATCCTTCCACTTCAGCCTCCCAAGTAGTTGGACTACAAGCAGGTGCCATCGTACCCAGCTAATTTTTTGATTTTTTTTTTGTTTAAGAGATAAGGTCTTGCTATGTTGACCAGGCTGCTGGTCTTGAACTCGTGACCTCCCAAAGTGCTGGGATTACAGGCATGAGCCACTGTGCCCTGCTTCTTCGATATGCTTGAAGTAAGTTTTTAGCTTCACACAAATCCTTTTGTTATAGAATGATCTTGGTTTTTTTTTTGAGTTGGAGTCTCACTCTGTCGCCCAGACTGGAGTGCAGTGGCCGCTCCCAGCCACTGCAGCCTCGACCTGCTGAGCTCCGGCGATTCTTCCACCTCAGCCTTCCAAGTAGCTGGAACTACAGGCGCGCGCTACCACACCTGGCTAATTTTTTGATTTATTGTAGAGATGAGATCTCACCAAGTTGCCCAGGTGTCGCGAACCTGCTGGCTCAGGCAAGCCACTCACCCCAGCCTCCCAAGGTGTGGGATTACAGGCTGAGCCACTGAGCCCAGCAATCTTGGTTTTAAAAATAGGAATTGCCTGCACTTGAAAAGTTTCAAAACTTTGTTTTTTTTCTTAAAAAGAACAAAAGCATTCTTTATACACTGGAATGCCTAATTTGTACCAGTTCTTCATCTTGTCATTTTTTTTTTTAATTTTTAAATTTTAAAGATGTGGGGTACAATTCAGGGTTAGGTATACAGATGTTTATTATGGAGGTAACCTTGTTGATGAGGTGTGCTTCCCCCTCCCCTGGCAGCCTTGTCTTAATTCATTGCTGCTGGGCCATCACTTGCCATGTAGGGATATAGTTACGGTGCATCACCTGTGTCTTTCCTGTCTTTCAATATCACATCAGCTGTATTAGCAAAGAGGCCACCAAGCGCTGAATAACTTGTAATTCATGCTAACTGCTATAAATTGCTTCAGTTGATTTTTGTGGACTCAGCATTATTTCCACAACGCTTGCTTTTTAAAACCTCTAAAACATGTTAGGTCTATGTTGGATTTCCTTTTAGAAGAGATGTCCAATAGCAATTTGTATTATATGAAATCTAAAACATAGACTTTCAATATATTTTTTAATAGTATATCACAGAATTGGCAAATGCCCTATCCTACTGTCATTCAAAGAGAGTCATCCACAGAGACATTAAGCCAGAGAACCTGCTTCTTGGATCAGCTGGAGAGCTGAAGATTGCAGATTTTGGGTGGTCAGTACATGCTCCATCCTCAAGGTAAGTAATTTTAGAAGCGGAAATGGTTTGTTTAGCAAAAGCCCTGGGGACTAATCATGAACTAAATTTAAATATTTAAGTGTAAGTTTTGAACTAAGTGGGCAGATGACTGACCCCAAAATACTTTGAAGTAATTTAAGCGTGATAATAGACTAGTTTTCAAGACAGCTTTATTCTGTGACCAGTTTGGGCTGTTTATAGTGTTCTAGGCCTAGGGCTAAAGATGCTTAATGTCCTGAGAGGCAAATGAAGGGGATGAATAAAGCAACAGATGGACACATTTACAGCAGAGGGGAAGTGCCATGTGTAGAGAGAGAGCTCCTAACTGAATTCGGAGGGTGGAGATATGCCTGCTTCCTGGACAAGGAGACAGGGAGAAGTTTCAGAAGATAGCACAAAGATCCGGAGCTCAGGGTGCAGGATGTACTTTGGGGAACTTTGAAAACCAGGTTGGTTTGAATGGAGCTTTGAAGATGATGGTTAAAAATTCTCTTTGGTCTGCTTTTGTCAACAGCTGTGTAGCCTGAAATAGATTGACACTGTGGGGGAAGGCTTTTTGATTTTACTTTAGACCACTTTTGATTGTTTCCAGCAGCGCATTGTACCTTTTTTTTTTGAGTTGGAGTCTCACTCTGTCACCCAGACTGGAGTGCAGTGGCCGCTCCTGGCCACCGCAGCCTCGACCTGCTGGGCTCCGGCGATCCTTCCGCCTCAGCCTTCCAAGTAGCCGGAATTACAGGCATGCGCTACCACGCCCAGCTGATTTTTTGATTTTATTGTAGAGATGAGGTCTCGCCCAGGCAGGTCTCGAACCCGCAGGCTCATGCAATCCACTCACCTCAGCCTCCCAAAGGCGTGGGATTACAGGCTGAGCCACCGAGCCTGGCTTTTTTTTTTTTTTTTTAGCTGATGATCATTAGTGGAAGATGTTGTGGTCTGTTAAGACAAACAACAATAAGTCTATTCCACAACATAGACTTCGTGGAATCACAGGGTAAAACTAGACCTTAATTTGTTGTGATAGGAAAGATGACTTATTACTTTCTGAAAAGATTCTCTACAGAACTGTTGATGGCCACTTGCATCCCAAATGTAATAACCACAGTAGTTTCCTAGTGATTGTCTCCATTTGAGAATCCCCAGTTCAGTCCATCTGCTCATTGCAGTGGTGATGGAGGGTTAGATGATCAGTGAGGTAGCTTCTTAATTCCAGATCATGATTTGTGCAGTGTATGTTTGTACTCGCCAGGTGCCAGGCCTGACTGTGTCAGTATCAGTGGTGAAGAGCCACGGAGAGTTAGCAACAAAATCTACACAGGTGCTCCTGGCTTGACATATACTGTCCCCAACTTTTTTTTCAATCTTTGTTATAAAAACCTAAATCAACAGAAATGCTGAATTGGTAGTTGATAGCACACCTATGCCTCCATCTGGCTGCATTGACTTTTTTGGTGAGCATTTGAATGTAAGTTGCAAACTTAATGATGCATCAGTCTTAAGCACTATATGAGGCATTGCCTGAAAATAAGGATATCCTCCTATACAATTACAACCATGATCATTCCTAAGAAGATTTAACAGCATTGTTAATATTTAACATTTAGTCCATGTTCACATTTCCCCAGCTGTCTACAAAATGTTATAACTGGTTTTAAAGGTTCACACATTGTATTGGTTGTGTTGTGTCTCTTTGGTCTTAATCTAGATCAGCTCCCCAACATTTTAAAATGGATTTTTCTGATTGTGTTGTCACTTAGCTTTGACCTTTATCCCTATATTTGCTGAAAACTGGAAATTAGGTCTCAGGGCCTGAAGGGATTCAGGGGTCAGGTTAAATATTTTTGGCAAGAATGCTTCTTTTTTAAGTATTCTTAGTAAACTTTAAGGCCACCCTTAAACATTCAGTTTCTTTTTTATACCATTGATCGCTCAGAAGCGTGTATCTATAACTCCAACCTAGTGTTGTCACAGTGGGTCAGTTTCTAGTTTCTTGTCATTAATGTCACCTGGCTCTTAAGCTTCTTAGCATATCTGTAATATGTAAAAACAAATGTAGAACTCCACATTGTATTTACAGAGAACTCTGCATGGAAGCTTTCACTTAGTGAAACATTCCATTTCTTATATTGCACATCATACAGGAGGTTCTGGAGTTAGATTGGGGTTAAGCTTTTTGGCTAGCTCTGATGTCACACATTTCCCTCAATCTGTGTCCTATGGGAATTTATAATAGTACCTACTTCATAGCACAGGATCTGGCCTAGGGGATGTGTTCAATCAATGTTAGCTGCTAAAACTCATGAACAGTCATGCTGTTGTGATGATAAGACCGGGAACACATCAACCTGAGACTGCCTCCGTTTTTAGGAGAACCACTCTCTGTGGTACCCTGGACTACCTGCCCCCCGAGATGATTGAAGGTCGGATGCATGATGAGAAAGTAGATCTCTGGAGCCTTGGTGTTCTCTGCTATGAGTTTTTAGTTGGGAATCCTCCCTTTGAGGCAAGCACAAACCAAGAAACCTATAGAAGAATATCACGGGTAAGACATAACCGAAAAGCACCTAGCACATCTGTTAGACTTTTCCACATCAGTCTGTTAGGATGGGATCTGGATATTCATACTCCTTGATGTCTCTAACCTGTGTTCTGTGACATTTTATCATTTGTTCTCCAGATTGAATTCACATTCCCTGACTTTGTAACAGAGGGAGCCAGGGACCTCATTTCAAGACTGCTGAAGCACACTCCAAGCCAGAGGCTAACATTAAGGGAAGTACTTGAACATCCCTGGATCACAGCCAATTCATCAAAACCATCAAACTGCCAAAACAAAGAATCAACCAGCAAACAGTCTTAGGAATCGTGCAGGGGGAGAAATCCTTGAGCGAGGGCTGCTGTATAATCTGTCAGGAACACGCTACTGAAATGTTGACTGCTGCCCTCAATCTGGAACGCTACAGGAAATGTTGTTTTACTGAGCAGGCAGTGCCTCAATCTCCCTATTCAGAAAGCTCCACATCAATAAGCATGACACTCTGAAGTAGCCACAGAAATCGTGCTGCTTTTACTGGTTCGTAATCTGGAGGCAAATTTCAACTGCAGTGCCCTACAGCCCGGGCCAGGCAGGTGTTCTTGCAGGAGACAAACTTGGGGTCTGGTTATAGGGAAAGTGACCACTTTGCTCTGACTTGATCAGTTAACGAGCTGTGCAATACCCTTAAAGTACCTGAGTGAGTGTGTAACTTATTGGGTGGCGAAACCTGGTGAAGCTGTTGGGATGAATATGTGATTCTTTAAATGTTAAAATAAAGCTCTTTGTGTAGACTTCTGTTTTTTCTCCTGTGGCACCCCTTTGGAGTGCTCTCGGTCTGTCCTGTACCTGTTAGGCCTGGTTGGTTTATAGTCCTCCTTAACCACTTTTCTGCTATATTGAGACTCCGTAAAAATAGGAATACGTGCTCTACCTCCTGGATTCGCTTGGGATACAGGAGAGACTGTGGGTCTCAAAGCTGTTAAGGGCTTTTTTTTTTTTATTATTACATTGGAGTCATGGCATATGTGTAAACTTCAAATATACAAATAAATATATATGTTTACCTGGAGTAGATAGTTCTTTCCAGCACCTGCTCACTGTTGGCATGGAAATGAATGGGTGCCTGGCCCTCTTTTGGTCTCTCCTGTTGGGTGTGCTCCTAACACTTCAAGCTACCTATTTGTTTATAGGTGCCAATGTCATGTCTGTTGACCACAGATGGTGAGCCTGACAGTGAAGGAATGGTGGAAGAGCTGGACTTAGAACTAGCAGAGATCAATGCGAGAGCCTAGACAGATATATCAAGATATAGCAAAACAGTCGATCTAAAGAAACTTCCATGTCTAAGTGTCAAGATAGAGCAACTTAAAAACACAACTGAGTAAAACTGGAGTGGTCACTTGGTCCTTTGGGGCAAAGGAGCTTTTGGTTCCCACAGTCTTGAGCTGAACCAGAGTACCACCCATGCCATAGTTACTGTCATGTGACCAACTTCATCAGTGATACTAGTTAGACTTGGGACATTTCCCTAGAGTCCCACACAAGCAAAGAATAAGCTCATTGTGGTAGCACATTAAGACACTGGTCACACGGTGCCACTTCCTAATCAGCAACAATAATGGCTTACTAGAAGTGGAATAAAAGGTTCAAAAACTTTATTAAGCTGCTCACTTTGTCAGCTTAAAAAAACGAGAAACAATGGCTTGCGTTTTTAAAATACATCAGTTTTACTTCCCAGTTACATAAAAACGGTGTAAACACAAGCATTCTGTACATCTTGCTGGTGAACTCAATGGTTTCATTCCCTGATCCTTTGTCCTCCTTAGCTTGAGTTTTCTGTTTTGACCATTGGCCACAGGGGCCAGGACTCAGAAGTGGGGTCAGGACTCAGAAGATGGCAATGTGGCTATTTGGTATGGTTACTTTTATTGCTTGCCCTTTCCACACACTTCGTTACTCTTCACTTACAGTTTAAGATTTAAGCCCTTAAACCTGTAGGGATCACTGTCAGCTTTTTTTTTTTGCATAGGCATTACTAGGATGTGAATGGGAGACTGGTAAGGAAGGGGTTAGGAGCCAAAGTGCTCAAATTAAGCACAATATGTGATGGTCTGCTCACACGGAATTATCTAGCACGGGTACAGGGCATCTCAGCTGTGGAGAGGTCCCTGGAATAAAATCCTAGAAAGTCAGTTTCAGCTTTAAATCAGTAAAGCTTTTGGCAACAGGCTAATTGCTTTAAAAGAAATATGGTTCCACTTCAAAAATCTTGCAGGTGGGAAACTTACCCCACAAAGATTCTTTGAAACATTAACTGAGATAATTGACACGGGTTACTGAGCTAACTTGGGAACCGTCAACAGCCAAATCTCAGTAAAACCAGCAGTCAGTGACTAGTTCTGTTAGTTTTCTGATAGTCACAAATGTAATTTTAAAAGAATTGGGAGGCAGAAGGAGAAATGCAATTCCCTCAACCATGCAACAGGGCAGGCTGCTTAAATGGTGTTCCAGAGTGTGGAACAAGTGTCCTGCATCAGGATGGAACTCCTCCAATCGCCTGCTCCTGACCACTTTAAGGAAGAAGTTGCCATTTGGGTCTATGTGCTTGAGCTTCTATGTTTTTTGTTTTTTTTTTGAGTTGGAGTCTCACTGTGTTGCCCAGACTGGAGTGCAGTGGCACGTTCCCAACCACTACAGTCTCAGCCTGCTGGGCTCTGGCAATCCTGCCTCAGCCTTCCAAATAGCCGGAATTATAGGCGTGTGTTACCATGCCTGGCTAATTTTTGATTTATTGTAGAGACGCGGTCTCGCCAAGTTGCCTGGGTGGGTTTCGAACCTGCGGGCTCAGGCAATCCACTCACCTCAGCCTCCCAAAGTGCTGGGCTTACAGGCTGAGTCACTGAGCCCAGCTGCTTCTATTCTTAATTATCCTCCCTAACACATGACCTTCATTGGGTAACACTGCCTCGGCAGACTAATGCCTGGCCCTCTCAGCTTGTATTATTTCATAGATGCTGTCCATTTATAACAAGTGCTATTCATTTTTCTTTTTAGGAAGTGCTACAAAAATCTTTTTTTCATACACAGTTTTAACCCAACTAAAATAAGTAGAGACAATGTAAACATCATGACAGTTCTGGAATGTCTGAAGTTTGAGATATAGGTTAAGAAAAGATTGTCTAAAAAAAGCTAAGATTGTCTTAGCTTTTGATGTGTGGTATCCAAATTCCTTTGTGAACGCTGGCACACGGCACCACTGCTACAGGCAGTTTCCATATTTTTACCTAAACAGACAGATGATCCTGACCTACTTCAATGAAATTTCAGAAGTCACCTGATATAGGGCCCTTCATGTCCCGATTGGAAGGTGTTTGGGGATCAGTGAAACATACCAGAAATACTTTTCTCTCCTCAAAAACAAGTGTAATGAATATCCAAATGTTGAGGTTAATTTAGATTGTGATTATATATTGTTACGTTTTGTTTCATTAATTGTAGCACTAGCAGCTGTTTTGCATAAATTGCAGGCAGCTTATAAAAAATATCAGAGGAAGGGAATTTTAAGAGCCAGCTAAATTAATCACCACTTAAAAAAAAAAAACAACAAAAAAAAACACTCAAGCCTGGAGCTTTTACAGATCTTCACCAAAGATCTTTCAGAAGGAAGATCTTTCCAGAAGGAACATTTTATGGGCCACTTTGTTTTGAGATGTTAACTCATTTGTGACATTTAAGAGTATGTCTACAAGTCCTGTGATGAACAGCATTAACAAAATGTATGAAGCAAAATATAATTATTCAAAAGCCTGACTTTTGCTGGCAAAAGTAAAATTTATCCACAAGAACTTAGCAATTAGCTCCCTGTACCCCCCCCAAATAAACCCTATAACCTACAACCAATCCAAATTGTGTAATTTAAAAGAAATAGGTTTTCGGTGCCTATGATGGAAGAGTTCATTAAGGTTTCGCAGCTGGAGGTTTAAAAAATCCCACTTTCCGAAAATATCTGACAATCAAGGGCACAGAGACTAGGGTGATGCTGATTCTCACTGGTGCAAACAGCTTGTGGATCGCATAGGCCACCACGAAGGTACTTGTGCCTGCTGCCATTTTTGACTGTACCAGCGACTCTTTAAATCCCAGTTTAAGCAGGACTGCAGACATGTCCACACCACTAGGGGGGGAAAAGGCAAAGAAAATAATTATTGCAGCAAAAGATTAAATAAATTAATTTGGCTATTAGACTTACAGAATTTTAAAAAATGGAATGAAAGAAGCTGGGTGGATAAAAAGTCTTAGCAAATCAGTTCTTAGTCATATACTCTTTCACAACAGTGAAAAACAAATCTTTATGACTGGCAAAAACCTTACCTTGAAACTACCATGTAAAATATGCCCAAGGAGACCAGTGAGATTCCGATGTGCAGTGACACGCCAACAGCGCCGTATTCTTGAAAAACCTTTTTCAGCTGCTGTGATTTGCTTTGCTTTTTCTCCTCTGTGCTGTTGATGTTGCTGCCTGTCATCTCAGGGATTTTGCTGGGGTCCTGAGCACACACCAGAAAAAAGGAGACACTCAGGGCAGGTGCAGAATGTCAGTGGCCCTTACCAGTTTTTCCACTCACACAGTTAATTATACTCTTTCCTACCCGATGAGGGCTCAGTTACCTCTTACTCAGTGGGCTGAGGCATATGCCACCTTGAGTCACTTGAGTGTAAGCAATGGCTGGGAGCTAGGTATGGCCGGCAGAAAGATGGCCCCAAGACGTCCTAACCCCAGGACCTATGACTATGTTGCCTTACAAGGCAAAAAGGGCTTTGCAGATTAAAGAAAGGATCTGGCCGGGCATGGTGGCTCACGCCTGTAATCCTAGCACTTTGGGAGGCGAGGCGAGAGGATTGCCTGAGCCCAGGGATTTGAGACTAGCCTGGGCAACTTGGCGAGACCTCATCTCTACAATAAATCAAAAAGTTAGCCAGGCTGTGGCACGCATCTGTAGTTTTGGCTACCTGGAAGGCTGAGGCAGGATTGTCTGAGCGCAGTGGATTGAGGCTGTGGTGGCCATAGCGTGCCACTGCGCTCCAACCTGGGTGACAGATTGAGACTCCGACTCAGAAATAAAAATAAAAACAAATAAATAAATAAAGGCTCTCAAGATGGGGAGCTGGATGATCTGCGATACACTATCGCCACTGCATAATCACAAGGGTCCTTGTAAGTAAAAAGGAGGAGGCAGGAGAGAGTGTCAGAGCGGGAGTGTCACAGCAGAAGCAGAGCATGCATCTGCAGACGCTGTACTGCTGGTTTAGGAAGGCAAGGCCCGAGTCAAGGAATGCAGGCAGCCTCAAGCTGGAACAGGCAGGAAATGATTTTCTCTTGAGCTCTGCTGACACCTTGACTTTAGTGCACTAAGACCCATTTTGGAATTTTGACCTCCAGAATGTACAATAATAAATGTGTACTGTAGCCTGGGCAACAAAAAAATCTATGACTCTACACACAAACAAAAATCAACTGGATGTGGTGGCACGCACCTGTAGTCTCTGCTACTTGGGAGGCTGAGGCGGGAAGGTCACTTGAGCCCAGGATGTGGAAGCTGCAGTGAGCTATGATTGCACAACTGCACTCTAGCCTGGGTGACAGTGAGATCCTGTTTCAAGTAAATAAGTCTTATTTTACGCCAGCAGGTTTGTGTCATCTGTTACAGCAATAATAGTCACTAAGACACAAGAGCTCACGTGCTTGGGAATAACAATGATATTTTATCAAGTACTTTCTCTGAGCCAGGCAGACTTCCAACGCTTCTCTCCTTTCATCCTCAGGACAACCTTCTGAGGTAGATACTATTTTCCCCCCACTTTGCAGAGGAGCAATACAGGCTTGGAGAGGTCAAGGAATTGGCTCAAGGTCACCAAGATTAGAGCCTAGTCCATCCGAGTCCACGGCACGACCACGTGACAACCATGCTATATGCTACAAAAAAGGACAGTGAGCATGAAACAAAATGGAGCAAACACTATGGTGTATTTACTTCTAAAATCAAGATGTGCACCTGAGATCTGAAACAGAAAAGGGAGGGTCGATGCTTGTACAGTACACCCGCCATGATTGGTACAGAAATAACACTGCATGTGGCATCTGTGAACATGGACTGAGCACCTACTGGGCTTGGAGTGTGTGGGAGAAACAAAAACACCACGGCCACCACTACCACCACCAACAAAAAACCCTGCTCAATAAAAGAGCACTTTTGCCAAGTGATTTGTCTAGTGATATCCTCAGGGCTTGGCCTGGTGGGTGGTATCTGGCTGGTCAGCTCTGTGGACCCTCCAGCTGGCCCACTTCTTCCCTGTATTTTAGAACAAAACATTTAAAAAAAGGTTTGAGGAAAACCCTTGGTGTTCTCATGATAGGTCCCTTTCGCTGAGTCTGGTGCTGGGCTTATACTTTAAAGACCTCGTTTCATAAAAGCCCTCATGGCCCTGTGACCTGGGAACCTCTGTCGCTCCCATTTTGACACATGGGAGTCTGAGGTTCGGGGTAGGGGAAGAGATGCTAACGGGCAGCAAGGACTGGTGACTGGGCTGGTTACCACCAGGCCACACAGCCTCTGTGACACTCAGCAGGCTCCCCTCTGTGCCCTGCAAGAGTGACCATTCCCCAAGGAAGACACTTTCCCAGAACATCCAGGCTCTGGAGGGGAGGAAGATGGTTATTGGCCTTCTTTTTGAAGGCTGGCACATACAACCTCCATTTCCTCGAAGCCTCCTGACTAGCTGCCCTGCCACCTGCAACCCTAAGCAAGAATGGTTGCTGAGAGAAGAAGGTTCTTCCTGATAAACAAGTCTCCACCCACCTCTCAGTTGCCAAGGGAGGCTGCAGATGGGAGACCAGCCAGCAGGTGGGTGCTGATAGGAGGCCACCCCCAGCCCCTCATGGTGCCAAACACCATGATGGGTGGAAGCACCCTTGGTCTCCTCCCACCCCTGATGCTGGGCCCCACTCTGTCCATTTACCAGACCAAACACAGCTGTCTCTGCAGAGGCTCTTTTCTTTACAGTCTCTTTGTTGGCAAAAGGCTTTTTGGCCAAGAAAGAAAAATACACAGGCAACCAGACTTCCAGTTACAGAATGAGCAGCCTCACAGTAGGGACAGAACATTCAGATGCCACAGACAGTCTCCCACTAGCGGGCACCATGGCTAGCTTTGTACGTTCTAGAGAACACCTGGTTACTTGGACAACTGTCCTCCTTTAATCTTGTAAACAGAACTATCTTTAAGCACTGTAAGCATTGCATTTTTTCTTCCTAACACTTGAGGAGACCCAAGAAGCTAAAATAAAGGAATTTATGAGGGTGTGAATTACAAGTGATGGAAAATGTTCAGACATTCATTTCTTCATGAAATATCACCTTCATACCCAGGATGAGCCATCCTGGATGCATATAACACACATGTCCTCTGAGGGTCTAGGTGTAATGTGCTTTCACATGTGTGTGTATGTGTGTGTTTGTGTGAGATTCCTTCTCTGTCCCTCCCCCATATTTATTAAAGTACAAAAAGCTGTAATAGATAATGGGCAGGAAGGTTGTTTAAAGAACAAGCCAAAGATCCTGCCGTCAAGTCGATCACATAGTCTGGAGTGACACCCATTTTCATTCATTTGATAAATAATATTAAAAATAAGCACTATATTGTGAGTACCTTGAAAATATTAATTCTATGAATCCTACACCCTGTGAGATAGGGACTCTTGTCAGTCCCATTTAACAGAAGAGGATCCTAGAAGCCCAGAGAGGTTGAGTAACTTATCAAGGATCACACAGGAATTAACTGGCAGAGCTAGGATCCAAACTCACTGAGTCTGGTTCCAAGGCCAACAGTGCCAGGCACAGGGACAGGCACAGGGACAGAGCAGTGAACACAGGGACAAAACCTCACCCTCAAGGAGCCTGTGGTCTTGTGGGAGGAGAGGGATGATAAACAGAAAAGTAAAACACCAGGGCTGCTACTTATGGCAAGTGCCACGGAGAATGCCGGGGAGGCGAAGGATGCTGCAAGCTTAAGTAAGGCTGTCAGGGAAGGTCTCCTTGAAAAGGTAGCCCTGGAGCCCAAGGCGATGAGGAAAGGACACAGGGGTCAAGGAAAGCACGGTGTCTGTTTAAGACCCCTTCCACCCCTAGAAGTGGTAAGTGGTACAGGCACGTGGGTTTACAAGACAGGAATCATGGGAAGTGAAAAGGGGGGCTGCTTCTGTGGCTTTTTCTCCCCCCTCCCCTCACAGAGAGACCCCTTGCTGAAGGCAGAGGCGGGTGTGTCTCTCTGACAAATGCCTGACACCTTTGGAGATCCCAGCTGGGCACCGCACGCTTGACTCCCAGTGAGGGCTGCCAGGAACAGCTGGCAGGGGAGGTGTGGGGCTCTGGCCAAAGCCCAGACCCTCCCTCCATCTGCTCCCAGGCCCCGTTGGGATGGGATAGGCTTAGTCAGGGAGATGAGAATCTTTTGTTCTAACCTCCTGTGAGGCTCTGATGCCACTTGGATTCTGCCCATCCATCAGAGAGCAGGAAAAGAACGACATCAGGGCCTGTGCCAGGATACATTTACTAGGATTATAGTAACAGCTAACATTCACTTAGCATGTGTCAGATGCCAGGTATGAGCATTATCTCGTTTTATCTCACGCTGTCAAGCGTCAATTATTTAACATCCCATTTTATAGATGAGGAAATACACAAAGAGAAGTGTGAGAATTTGATTAAGGCCACAGAACCAGTGCGTAGAAACAGGAATCTGGGGAGTCTGAAACCAACTCATCACCACTGTATACACACACCTCCCTGCCAGGGCCTGGGGTGGGGATGAAACTGATGTGGCTCATGGAACAGACAAGCAAGTCAAGGGTGCATTCCAGGTGATGACTGCTAAGGAGGTACACAACCAGCCGGGCTCGGTGGCTCAGCCTGTAATCCCACGCCTTTGGGAGGCTGAGATAAGTGGATTGCTTGAGCCCGTGGGTTCGAGACCCGCCTGGGCAACTTGGCGAGACCTCATCTTTACAATAAATAAAAAATTAGTTGGGTGTGCCTGTAGTTCCAGCTACTTGGAAGGCTGAGGCAGAAGGATCGCTGGAGCCCAGCAGGTCGAGGCTGCAGTGGCCGGGAGCGGTCTGGGTGACAGAGTGAGACTCCAACTCAAAAAAAAAAGAAGGTACACAACCCTGGGTGGAGGGGGGCCCCAGGGAAGGTATCTGTGGCACCACTGGGGGTCAGGGAAAGCTTCCTAGAGGAAGGGTGGCTGGGCTAAGCCATGAAGTATCACCAGGAGGCAGCCTGGTGTGTGCATAGGGTGCCAGGCTCATGAAGATCCCCAAACTATGCTCAGGATTTAGAGATAAAACCTATGTGCCTCTTGTCAGATGGGTAAGGGGAAGGCAAGGACGTTTCTCCATCTGTGTTGGGGGCATGGTAAGGGCATGGGTCAAATCTCAACCTGCTACTTACTGAAAAACTACAGAATGTTCGAGAAATGCTCACTGGGCAGTGGCCCTGTGATAAGGCTGCATCAGCTCTGTCCCCCAAATCTCTGGCTGGGAAGCTGCTATTTTTAGATCTCTAAAAGGTCAGCAAACAGGCTCAGAGCCCTTCAGAGCTTGACCTGAGGTCACCAGCCAGTGAACAGAGGGGTCAGATCCACACCCAGGCAAACAAAGGGTCTACAGAACATGAAGCTGGTAGCACTCCCAATGCCCATCCTGCCTTGTCATTCCTATATCTCGACTTCACTACTTACTACTGTTTTTCTGTTAAGAGATCTACTTAAAAGAAACAGATAGTTTTTTTTTTTTTTTTTTAAGAAAAGCTTGTATTACTGTTCTGATTGGTAACCAGCTCTCATGGAAGGCAACCAAAATGTAACATAATAAACAACACTATGGATTTCTTGCCCGAGGCATGCCTGAGGAAGCCTGCTCTTCAAGTTAGATAAAAAAGAGAAGCAGCACGCGTTAGGTGTTAAAGATACTGCAAAACCCGGCCTGTACGTGACTTCAGAGGAGCACAACACCAGGCCACGTGAGAAGTTCATACCAAGTTCAGGTCCCACCTACCATTCTGTGGGCTACACCTGGGTCTCGGTTGATGCTTCGGAGATCCGAAGTTCTGCTGCAGTCTGTGTGACCTTCAGCAGAGCGCCACACCTTTCTGAGCCTCAGTTTCCCCGGTTGTCAATTGGAAGGATCGCTTCCTTGGCTTGTGGGGATTTGGGACTCCAGGGACCCCGGAAGAGCTCGGTCCTGGGCAGCTGTGAGCGCAAAGCTGTCCTCGCGTCGGAGGTGGCCGACCCTGGCAGGGCGCTCGGGGCGCCTGGGGATCTGGGCGCCACTGGGATCGACGTGGGGGTGGGGAGCTTACCTGGTGGTCGCGGTAGTCCCCGCGGGACGTGCGCAGCAGCCGGGCGTCTGG